ATAAAAAATGAAAACACTGCAGTCATACAAGTTAGGGTTACTTTGACTTAAAGATACAGAAAATTATTACTTATTAAAGCTTAAAACTAAACCTAGGAGCTTTTCTTTTCTTCTTTGCTTACAAAAGCACTGTTTGAAGAGTTCGATGTTAGTATACGTAGTGGTTTTGTAATACTGTTTTTACCTTGCCATGTTGGCAGTTCTGCAGAGGCAGAAGCTGCCAGGCGGGCAGACCCACCGAAGGAAGGAGATTTCCACCCTCCTTCAGAGCCACAAAACTTCAACAGCACTTATCCATGACCTGGGCATCCCTACAGCACTGGAGCATCTTCCTCTAGGTGAATAGCATCAGCTTTCAAGGACTAAGTTAATTTTGACCACATAGCACTGGAAGATTTAAATCACGCAGACTGACATTCGATCGAATCAGCTTCGGCAAACTACACTACAGGGCAGCTCTGTGATTACACCCATGTCTACCATCACGTTGCATTTCCAAGTCCCCTTTAGTTCATTATAGTACAAAAGGTTGATCGTTCTTCTGACTGACCACATCGGGCCTGAAAAGAACACATCCTTCACCTTCAACGCTATCCAAAAGTCATACAGTTAAAAAAAAATAGTTCTAGGTATTCCTCCGCCAGCAAATGTAAGGCTTTCTTGAGTTTTGATTTTTTTTTGGGGGGGTGGGGGAGTGGGATTGCTGTGTGCACACACATGCGCTGGAGGTACGCATTTACCGCTTGCTTTTCAACCATTTACGATGTTCGAAGGAGAGTCTTCAGCAGCAGCGCTGATTGGGGTTGAAGGATTTACAGCAGTCAGATTTGACACCAAAAGAAGGGTCTGTTGAGTCTGAGCTTTGCACACTGGGTGCTCTTGGCTCTTAATTGATTGTGTGACCAGTCACTTGAGCCATTGGCTTGACTGAATTGAAGAATACTTATTTAAAAAGCCCTACCTGTCACGCCATGAAGGAAAGTTAACCGCAGCAGAAGACAAAGCCCATGAAACACTGAGAGCCTGTTCACTGAATGAACAGCTTAAGGCAGCTGTCAACAAAGTACCCCACCAAAGGAATTAAGGAAAAAAAAAAAGAAAACAAAAAGGAGAATGGCTGAATCGTGACACTGTGCATTATTACACCAACAGATTATTATACACTCAAGATTTCTCAAGTAATGAACATGTAGCCATTAAACAAATTATTACTCTCAAGACATTTATTACAAATGTCAGAACTTATTCATAAAATAAAACTGACTTAAAATAAAAAAAAAAAAGAAAGAAAAAAGCCAGAGCTGGGATCTTACATCTAAACACAGGTATACGCTGTTTTTATGAATAAGCAGTATTAACTACATTCTTAAAAGAGTTTTAGTGCATTGCATTCTTAAAAAAGAAAAACATCACCGCCCCAAAATGTTTCTTACAACATTTAACAATTTATAGAACTAGCCTAGTTACTTTTACCTGCCTGTTACTAAGCCCACATGTTAGAAGAGTGAAATCTCTGGTTTTAGGCTAAATTCAGAGTTCTATTAAGGATGAAACTGGTTTAAAAAATGCTTGCTTCACCAAATTTTGTAAGCGAATTACACTAATCAGTGTCTCACTGCCATACCGCTATCACTATTGCCCCAACGGACTACTCTCTCCTCCTGCTGAAACTTGCTATGCAATAACAGTCAGAAACCTTTCAATCTGGTAGTTTTGGTATTAAGATTAAATTAGACATTAACGGTTTTCTTCTAAAAACGTATAAACTAAACCACCTCTTTTATTTTATGCATTAAAAACAATGAGGTAGGCACAAAAAATAAACATATGTAGTTTGGATTTTATTTCTCTCTTTTTTTCTTTTTTTTTCCTTTTTTTTTCTTTTTTTTTTTTTAGTTCTGCGAGTGCAGACTGTGGTAAAACTGTTGTTGCACTTCTAGGTTTAAACAAAAATTAAACCTTTAACTGAGGCAGTGCTAATACTGTGACATAACCAAGTTCTGGCCTAACACAGAATCATTATAGAAAATGAATTTTTTTTTCCTTTTTTTTTTTTTTTAATCATCTGCACATGTTTCAGGCAACACCTGGTACACAGAAAATGACTAAAGTTATTGGCCAGGCCAAAATAAAACTGCAGAAACAAAAAATCCTAAGAATTCCACCCCGAGTCCCTTCCCACCCTCCCTGTTCCCCAAGAAGAAGTTATCCTAGTCACTGTGTCTTTCACATTTTATAAATATTAACTTCTTAAAACCTGCACCTTCCTCTTTGTCCACATTGTCACATTACAAAAAAGAAATGTCAATTAAATACATTGTTAACATTACTAGACTAGATCTGCCCTCTGTTTCAGCCAGTCTGACTCTCTACACCACTTGTCACCTTCTCTTGCCTGCCTCCTGTCCACTCAACAAACAGCATGTTCATGGTAAGCCTGGTTTGTTTTTCTTCTCTTTTCCCCCCTTCTGTGTTTTAACACTAACAATCTGAGTCCTTCAAAGCCTAGGAATCCTGGAGCTGAAGGGAAAGAAGACCTGTAGCTTTCTAGTGTGATCCCGAATCTCAAAGACATTGTAGCACCTGATGGCAATATCTTTACAGCACCAGCTGCATCGCAGCCTCAGTTGAAAAACATAAAGAAACCTAACACCAGTGATGCCTGCACACACATTTACACAGAGTGCTGCATTAGTGCAGGTCTGTACTCCAGTTGAAAATAATTCCAAGTTATGAAGATCTCAGGCTCTGGATGTCAGCAATTCCTCTCCAAATCCCACCACTTCTACCAGCTCAGAAGAGAAGTCCTGCCAAGGGTCATGAAATAGACTTGACTACTTCCACCTGACCGTACGGAGGCAAAGAAAACCTGTAAAGAAAAGAGATTGGCAAATTCAACAGGTAGGACAGCAGTGGCTCTAATTTGCCTTCACTATCCCCAATATTGGCAGTGGAATTGCTGTGTCTGGTGGGGATGGAGTTGACGCTCTTCACAGCAGCCTGTATGGTGCTGGGCTTTGCATCTGTGGTTAAACAGTGCTGCTAACACACCGGTGTTTTGGCTGCTGCTGAACAACACTTGCACAGCATCAAGGCTTTCTCTCCAGCCCACTCACCCCTAAAAGGCCAGTGGGCTGGGATGGGCAAGGGGCTGGGATGGGCAAGGGGCTGGGAGGGCACAGTGCTGAGACAGTTTACCCAAACTGACCAAAGCAATGTCCCATAACATGCAGCGTCATGCACAGCAATAAAAGCCCAGGGAAAGGGAGAGGACAGGAGGGACGTTGTGGTGATGACATTTGCCTTCCCAAACAAGCATGCTTTCCATGTGGAAAGCATCTGGATGTCCACCTGCCAATGGGAGGTTGCATATTAACTCTTTATTTTGCCTGGCTTGCGAGCGCGGTCTTCGCTGTCTTATTAAGTTGACTATATGTCAATCTACGAGTCTTCCTTCCATTTCTTTCTTCCAATCTACCATTCTACCATTTTCTTTCCATTCTATGGGAGAGGGGAGAGAGCTTGAGGCTTGGGTGGGTGTTTGGCTGCTGGTCAAGGTCAACCCAACCCAAGTACCCAGTCAAAGTACACGCTTATCATCTTGGCAACAAACTTGGGGAGGGGGGCTGGAACATACCTTGTCATTGCGTTCACACAAGAATTTGAGTCTTTGTGCCCTTTTGTGCATGAACACGCCATCCAAGTGTCCAGTTTCCACAGATCGTATTTCTATAGCTTTTTCTCCCCAGCCCATGATCTGGTTAGACCGGATGTATGCTTTGGAAAGAAAACAGCACGTTAGGACAAGTAGAAAGCAACATGGAGGAACACAAAAAGCAAGGAACATATTGACGCATTCTAGCAAAATTACCTGCGTGTGTGTATTATAGCTACACACATATTCAGAGTACTATTTCTGTCCTCAGAACATTCATGACACCTAAAAATGCTTTTTTTTTTAATTTCCTTTATGTGTTTTCTGTATTAGTTACATACTTCTTCCCTGAGCGTTCATGACACAAAGGGAACTTTATAACCTTTAATTAGATGGAGGGAACATTTAGTTTTTACACAGGCTTCTTCTCACAAGTTTGGCAAAGAGACAGGTTAATTAGGTGTTGACTAGGAGAAAGCAGAAGCTCAGGTTTAAATAGACTAGTCCAGTAGGCCTGCAGCATCAGCTCTCTGTCTTACAGTGTTATTTTCCCTCCCTGAAGGAGTTAGTCAGCAAAAACACAGAGAGTGAGAGGGAGTAATACTTCAAAAATTGATCTCCTTGAGAAAGCCAACTGGTCTGAAAAGCATTCTGTATACCTCAAAAAAAGGTTCACATTAAGCTCTCAAAGTAGGACTATTATTATTTGACATACTGCTTTCCTTTGTGTATAAATAAAGCAACAAATCAAACATTTTTCCATATGAATGGCAAAGGGGAACACAGATCAGTAATAGCATGAGGAAAAAAATCTGCTCTTGATAGCAGGAAGAAAATTAAATAAAAAGAAAAGTCACCAGCATTATGAAAAAGTATATTCAAAAAGCAATTCAACGGATAGTCTTAAGGAATGCTGTCAAAAATAACATATGGGAATTTAATGAAGACTAAGCTGTTGCCCCTGATTCGCATGCATATGTAACAGAAAAATAAAAATAACTTCTTAGCCATAAAAATTTAAAAATATTTAATTTTTCAGTACTTCCGTTTGATATAATTTTTTTCATATTAACTTTCAGTGAAATTAAGTCAAATTATCTACTGCAGTATAATGTACACCAATAACATTGCACATGCCAACACGATGAAAAACTATTTATTTTTAAATATGCCACTAGTGCTAACTGGGCCAAATAATTTCCAAAATTGTCAGATGAGATGTTCAGATGGTATCGGCCGCCTCAATCTCATTTACTTCACAAACATTCCAGTCTCCAAAGGCTCTGGAATTTGCCATCTGATAAATTCTGCTTGCTTTTAGATCTAGTCAAGAGTTAATCACAAGATTGAACATGCATGAGACTTCTTTAAATTTCCTCCTCCACTGTTGTTCCTGTTGCTCAGACAGCTATCAGCAGTCATCTCCCAATATATGCATCCATTCCACAGCACGTAAAACGCAGTGTGCTTGCCCAACAAAAGGAAGGTGTGACCACAGCCCATGCTACACTCTGCACTGAAATACGGCAGCACAAGCAGAAAGAGAGATCCTGGTGTGTACTTATGTCCATAAAAAATATGCACCCATTTTACTGCACTCATTCCTCCACCTCTCAAAACGACCTTTGAACTGGAGAGATGAGGGAGAATTGTGCTAGGATAGATGAGCAATCTACAGGTGAATAAGCAGACCCACCAAATGAGATACACATTTTGTTATCTATATAGAATTACCCATAACATTTTAGTCATCTGCCACCTTACAGTTTTTATACTGAAAGGTTTCCACAACTTTGTGGCTGTCTAGAAAAAATTCTGCAGCAGCCTACGGAGGTCATGGTGAGATTTTCAGTCATGAACTCCACAACTTTTGGATTTTGCTCATAAAAACTTCAGCACAAAACAGATCCATATGATTACTCTTCACTTTGTGCAGCTGTTTTCCAGGAATAATATAGCAATGACTTCAGATGCAGAAGCAGCAAACTCGATGCTCCTTCCTCCTGCCCACGTGAACACACTCATGGTCCCTAACAGCACATTGTATATGGCTTGCCAGAGGCACTTACCAACTGAAGTTGGCATTTCTCCCCACTGCAGAACCACATCCTTGGTTATCCTTCCATATGTGTTGACATAAACTCCTTCATCCTCGTAGCAGACCAATAGCTCCATCCCATCCGTGTTTGGGAGAATGATGATTGCATGAGGTTGGATACTACTCTGGATCTACAGAGACAGAAGTGAAGAGGAATCTTTTGTTTTAATATTGCAGAGCCTGCGCTAGAAGAAAGGGCTGAGTGATTTTTATTTTTGGCTCTCACATTAGGGATTCATAGAATGGCTTGGGCTGGAAGGGACTTTCAAGATCCTCTAATTCCAAATTCACTCATTTTAGAAGTGCTAGATCTGCTCCCCTCAAGCTACACAGCCTACACAGTGACCAAGACCTGTAAAAACCCTTGGAGCACAAATCCTCTCATCTTAAAGCAGACATCTAAAACCAGGGAAAATTAATTTCTCTGTAGGTGTGCCTTTTTTTTTTCAATGGGCGGAAAGGGAGTCTGGGGCAAGCAGCCCTGATGCAGACCTCAGACCTCTGCACTGCATTGAACAGTGCTTGGGGTGGCCCATCTGACACCTCTGCGTACAAGGAACAACAGGAAACCATGGCAGCTAAGGCCACCTGGCCTTTGCTAACCCTGTTGAAACTTATCAGTGGGCTGTTGTGTCATTTTTGCTGCTGGGCATTTGCAATGAGCTTGGCCATTTAGCTGCTAGTCCTGAAACTGTCATGTTGGCCCACATCGGATCTGAGTGGGCAACTTCCAACCATAGAGACATTCTGGCCATGAGGAAAGGTCTGACATTGAGGCACAAACCCCTAAGCACGCATGGCTGCGTCCGCTTAAGACTTGTCCACCCAATCCACCACTGCAAGCATTTGGCAGTGATCCACAGGGACTGCCTGACATATTGGTCATTTGAGGAAAGGAAGGGGTGGGGGGCAAGGGGGCTGATATACCAGAAAGAAAAAACCCAACCCCAGCAGCAGCTCTTACATGTGTTGGTAGATAAATATCATAGACCGATCCTGAATCCACATCAACGGCATGGAAACCAGCGCAGGAGCCATAGATCACTTTTAGTCTCTGACCCTCTTCTACGGTTAGATCCACCAGCAATGGCTTATGTACCAGTTCTCCAAATGACTGTGAGACAAGCATCAGAGAGATTTACTTAACTGCTTAGAACAACAATGGGCTTTATAAAAACATGCTCGAATGCACACATTATGGGTTTATTCCTCCACATGCCTCTGGTCCCCAGCCACCAGACCAGTTAGGCTAACATATCTCTCACGGACAAGGACAGATTACTCTGCAAACTGCTACATTTCAATCACCTAAACTATTTTATGTGGGGTTTACTTGGTCTGTTTGCTTTTTTAATAAAAATTGTTTTCTCCAAAGTTCAGGGCAATTTGACACTCCTGTAGTACTTACTTCAATCTGCACAACGAACAGTAACTGTCTGTAAATCAGTCTGGCAATTATATCAAGCCATCTAACTTCTTTCCTGCAGCATTCAAAAAAAATCCCGTAACAATGCTGAGTATCACTTCATAACTTGTTCTGCTCAGACAAAGAACTTTAGACTCAATACACTTCTCTCTGTCTCGTGTTTTATTTACAGAGAGATCAAACAAAAAGTTGTGATATTATGTCATTACTAGTTTATGTTTGGTCACAATTCAGACCTTTAAGTACTGCCTCTTAGAACTAAAATAACTCCTAAATTAATATAATACCAAGTTTGTGGACATTTACCGAAGAACTTGTAATACGGCCATGATAATATGTCATAACATTTTCATAACAGGGATAGCTGCAAGCGGTTATGAGAAAATCCTACGTATGGTTGAAATATACTGTTACCTTAAAGGCCATAAATTTATGGTATGGCTTTGGTGCCCATGCATAGACTTCCACAGAACTCTTCAATGCAATTACCAAGAACTTGATTCTTTCATATTTTACTGAAATTAAAGAAAACAAGAAAGAATTCAGCAGTAATTCTAAAGTCATTCCAATTACTTCAAGAAAGCAGAAAATTTATGTAAGTATGAAGAAATACTGTCATTTTGAGGATTTAGTAACACTGCGTTTTAGGACTGCTAATTCTATGTAGTTAAAAATGTTGATACATTTATGCCACAAAAGTCATTATTAGTAACTGAACATGTCACCATATTTAGAATTACCTAGTCAGTACACACTTATTTACACTTATTTTTTTCCACATTGGACAGTGCTAATTCATCAAGACAAGAAAATGAGTTTTCAGATAGGGACATTCCAATAAAAGAAGGTTGTCACTGTAGAAGAGTGTATTGGCAGTTCCAGTCACAGCACCGATACTGTTACTTTGAGCTGATGGCAAAATTCCCCAGAGACAGGAGGAAAAAAAGAAATTTAAAAAAAATAAGAAACAACCCAATTTCAACAGCAAAAGGTAAGTTTGATAATGGAGAATTTTCCTTTGTCCCTAAAGTCTGAGATAACTCATTTGAGAAAAAGGAAAAAAAAATAAAGTGTCATTACATAGTGAGCCACAGATGCTCAAATACATCTCTGTTGCCTCATTCAAACTGCTGGCTAAATTAACCATCAGAAAAGGTCTGTTCTGGACATTCCAGAAGTGTTGGTGGAGCTGTATTTCCAGCTACCATCTGGATTTGGGAAGGAACAAATCATGCAGACTTACAGATATTTAAGTTTGTTTACGTGTTTCCAGCATTCTTTCCCATTTCCACAGGGAAAGAAAAAAAATTAGCATTATTTAGATGATAGTGCAACCTTTTTAGCCCAAGTTTTAGAGGAATATAACACTTCTCCAAAACAATGTATAATTCCATGCACCTTCACTTTCTGCCATTATATCTCTCAACCAAAACTAATTTTGAAACACACTAGGAGTGAAAAACTCAAAACTTGTGAGAACACTTCTTTAATGAATGCTATTTTAATGTCTTTTAGACACCCTACTTCTGTACAAGCCTGCAGTTATTTTCTCTTGGTAAGCAACAGGTAGACCAAGCTAATACTTGCTTTTTTTACTGTGCAGGAAAGCAAGACTACTGAATTAGAAGTGTTAAAGGACTTGACATTTTTTCAACAGACAAAAATGTCTCTCAACTTCCACAGCTGTACTGACTAAAACAGAGCTTTTGTTCAGTCTTGTCTTGCTTACAAGACTTCCTGGAATTTTTTTTGGGGGGAAGAGGGGGTGTTGAACAAAACCACCTTATCTGTGAAAGCGGACATTTGATAATACTCATTCTTTGCTCTGGATGCTATCTGGGAATTCACCCAAATCTTAAGTTTCAAAAGAGCAATTTATCATTTAGAGGAGCCAAAAGTTGCCTGAAGCAACTGAAATCCATAAATACCACTTCACCCTTATGTCTGAGACCCCTGTTGCATCAAAGAGACAAGGAAGTGATCAGTGCCAGCTGCCTTGGTGACAGCGTCCAGACTGCGAACCCAACTATTGGCAGAGCTCTCCTTCTTGGGAACTGAACCAGAGCTGTCAAAGAGCCCTCTCACTACCTGAAGAAGTCTACTGTATTTCTATGGTTCAGAGGGAAGTTCAGTGCCAGGCTGCAGCGCAGCATAACAAACCTCTCTTCAACTGGAAGAGAATGCTCTTTGTTTCAGATGCTTCCCTGCTGGAAAGCCTCCTTTCAATAGCTGTTGATGTATTGTTAACAGGCCACTTTATTATGCTGCTGACACCCTGGGGTATGATACCAGAGCAGTGCATTATTACTTGTTTTCAGGGTCAAGCTCCTGGTTCAGCAGTCACTTACTGCCACTGCTATTGATTACGCCCCATTAGCAGATTTCTCCAAGAGCACACGCATGACAGGAGGAGACTGAGAACAGTTTGATTGCTGGTGTTCCACACTGACTGACACAGATGGAAAGGAACTGAGGTGGCTCTTGGGAGAAAATCAAATCAAAGGCAACATCCAGTGCCCCTTAGGATGCACCATGAAACTGAAGCAGGAGCAAGAGCTCTTGGTTCATATCCCCACCTGCAGGGCAGCAGGCTCACTGCATACTCCACTGGCTGTGAATGCTGCATGTCTTTCACTAGCTTTGGTGGAAGTTTCTATAGCCAAATCCATTTAAATTACTTAAAACCACTCAAAGGGCACCTGCCTAGTGAAAATACTCTTCATCCTGTAACTCTACTGCAATGAATCTGAGACAGCATTAGGGAATTTCGTGAGCTTAGAGGAATCGATGAATCATCTTGAAGTTAAACAGATGCTTCTGTTTCCAGATACCCTCCCAAACCTCGTGCATTAGTTGGGCTTCCTTTCTCCTCCAATGCCTTTTTTTTTTCCTTTCAATTTTTTCTCCCCCAGTATTTAAAATCTACATTAAAGAGAGACTTTTTTCAATCTATTCCAGCTTGTAAATTCACCATGGTAAGAGATCAGGGAAACTTGTTGGTGAAGAGAACTGTTGCTGGGGACAAGAATCTCTCTGTTATTTAAAGGGTCTAAGAGAGATGGTGAAATATTACCAGTCCTCACTGCCTGTATCAGCACCCTTCTAGAAGCTGCATTCATTACGGGAAGCAGACAGACGGGGATTTGCACCCTCTCCAGCTCACAGCCCATCATCCCATCACAAAACCTCTCTCATCATCTCAATTTAACCCCATAACTTGCCATCTATTCTGGTGCTTTGCCAGCAAAATTCACCTTGAGGAATAGGTAAGACAGCTGCAAATAAAACCAACCAAACCTTAAACCTAGTAGCTACATGCACTGTAGTTCTTTTTCTCAGCCATCTTTTATCCTGACTATTTGATTACTGTATTTGCTACTCACCAACTTTATAGTGCACACAGCCTTCCAAGTCGCCCACCGTTGTCCAGCCCTGTTTCTTTTCTACTTCAGGGTCGTTGTGAAGAATTTTATTTCTTAACCAGGACAAATAGTAAACTCGCAACTTGTTCTTCTTACCTGGCCACAAAATGAAACAAATTGGTTTATCTCCACAGGAAGATACTTACAAAAACCCCTGCCCAGGCAAACAGAAAGCCCAGCAGAGTAAACCAAAATAATAATGAAGCAGAAAATGCTGCAACCACAGAAATCTCCCTCCGTTTTTATGTCCACAACAGCTTCACTCCAGACTCCACCCAGACAAATGCTTTACCGTAAGCAATGACAGAGACACATGGCAATACCACATGAACACAAATGACAAAATCAAGGGAAAAGCTCTTTGGCTGTCTGGTTCTTAGGACATAAACAACTTTCATTAAAAGAGGGCTGTACTCCCACAACAAAAGCACCAGAAAGTCATGCACTGAGATGAAATATATATATATATGTGTGTGTGTGTATATATATATATATACATATACATACATACATATACATATATAAATATACATATACATATATATATATATATATATATAGCTGAGTCAGAATGGCTCTTTTTAGCACAAAACTGTAGGAGAGCAGCAGGATGGAATATGAGACCTGAAACTATCTATACAGCTATCAGAAGGACTAGGACTGGATTGAAAGGAGGAAGCACAAGTGAAGAAGAATATGGATATGATATTTTTACAAACTTATGGATATGTATTTTTACAAACTGTACAAACTTTTCCCAGTTAGTGATCAGGACATTTCCCTCCCTTGTATCATTCTCAGAGACAAACTGATTGAGTTTTAATAAGATTGTTCATGGCATAAATTTCATTACTGAACCACTTTATACGAGTTCTGTAGTAACAAAGAATGTACAATATCGGAAATTACTGTGAGGGAATTTCACATGGCCCATGCAAACTTCATCTGCTTGCTAAAAGCTGATGACTGCTTTGTCAGCAGCCCTTCCCTTGTGCTGCAAGAGGTGTAATATTTATCAGGCTGTACACAGAAACTGTGAGAGGTGTTTCTTCTCCACAGGTGAGAGAAGCTACTTGCATTGTCAGTTGAAGATAGGGCAGCCTGGGCATCTGCAACGTCATCAAAATACTGCGCAGACTCTTAACTCTCAATATGAGATGGCCTCTTTGAATGCAAAGCAAGGGTCATGATAAACTTTATCAGTAATTTTTTAACAACTAAGGGCCTACAAAGCTGAACTAGTGAGAAGGTGGCCCTAAATGCACATATTCAAAGTTGCATTCTCCTTCCCCCAGCTCTTTGCTGCTCGAAATCATCACAGTTCCACAGATGAAACTGTGAGCGAGGAAGGGAGAACATCCCTGCTTTGACTGCGAGCCATTTAATAAGGCTCCATGAGTTCTCTGTGGAAGGAAAGGAAACAGGAGATGCTCTCAAGGACCGTACTTGTCACTGTAGTAGCTCCATGCTTGTGCTTCACCAGCCATGATGAGGTGGCCAGGTGACTGCAGAGAATGTTTCATGGCTCTTAGAGGTAAGAGATGACCTGTACCACAGCCACTGCTGGGCTGGGGTGACACAGCCAAGTGACACAGCACTGGTCTATGCTGCAGAAAGCTGTGACCTGTCAAGATGGTCTATCTGGCAGCCTTCCAGCCAGACCCAGTTACAGAGTTCAGCTAATGTCTTTAACTTGTCTTCTAAGTTTTCACATGATGCCTACTGACGGATCAGTTCATGGAGCTGGCTGCTTGGGGATACTGGTGGCAGCAGGACATGAGGCCCAAGCATTGAGACCATCCTGCTGTGCCCAGCCAGCTCCACCCGGGGGTCCTGGAGCTGGCACAGACCCGCTATCCTGATGGCAGGGCGTCCCCTAACAGAGCTGGGCTTGCCAGAAAAAGAATCTAAGGGCTGGGGTAGCACATGGGTGTCTTGGTTTGAGCTGCCCCCTCAGGAGCCGGGGGGCCTAGAGGTGATTGGTCCCAGGAGAGTTCCCCATGAGGGACCAGTCGGAGCTGGTTTTTTTCGCTCCCGTGAAAATTAGATATCAACAACAGCCAAAGTTGTTGGCAGAGTGTCGGAGTGTGTGGCTGTGTGTGTCTGAGAGTGTGTGAGAGAGCTGAGGGGTGGTAGGGCCCCCCCCACCCCGAACTTGGCGGTGGGCCCTGGGCCCCACAGCTCTGGCTAAGCCACGGCTTAAGGCAGCGTAGAGTGTTGTGAGGGAGAGAGACAGACTCACAACCATGAGGTAAGAGAGGCAGGTCCCTCACGAGGGGGCCAAGCCCTCTTTCCCCCCCCAGTTAGACTGCACGGCTTGGGACAGTTATAACTGGACTGAGTACCCTGTAGCCAAGGCGAGGGGGCTTTCTTTTTCTTCCCCCACTGCCTGGGAAGGCGGTGATGTGGATTTAAGGCAGGGAAGGCACTGGAGCCGAGCCAAGAGATGGGCCAGCAAGGCTCTGTTGCCGGGAGAAACAGTTGCGATTCGCTGCAACAGTTGGGAGAACTCCAGGCAGAAATTGGAGACGGGCCAGAGAGGGCTCGGAGGTGCTCTACGTTGGGTTTGGACATGGACTACCGAAACTGGAACCTGCAGCAGCTAAAGAAGAATGAGAAAGCCAAACAAGCAGGTTTTTTCTGGGTAAGGACTTTAAAACTATTTGGGGTAAAAAGAACTGAGCAGAGACTCAGAGCCTGCAACCTGGAGGGTGAGAACGGAACATCTTACCCCCGGGAGGAAACCTTCATGAAACCAGGGAGGAAGGACTCAGAGTTGACTCCCTGGACCTTTCGTGATGACGATCCTGATGGCGCAAGCTGTTTCCCTTGCAGCTCAGGATAGGACCTCAGTATGAAACTAAGGGCTGGTGGGGGTTTCAACCCCTTTCCTGATACCCCAGTGAGAGAGAGACTTTTCACTATCGCTCTGAAGACTTCTCCTGAACTGATGGGGGAGGGTCCAAGGGGTGGTAGAAGCTGTGTTAATATTGTATATATAATTGTTTTTTAGTTTGTATAGTATTTATTTTGTATAGTAATAAATTATATATATTCCCTTCCCCTATACTGAGTTGTGCCTGCCTGAAAACTTCTCTTCAGTGTTGAGGTAAAGTGGGGGGAGGCTTGGAAATTGGAAATTGGATTTTTGGAGCTCTCAAACCGTGACAATGGGGAAGCACAGCTTGCAAACAGGTTGCTCTGTGGACTCCAGCACAAGGCACTGCATTACAAAGACACATGGTCTAAAAGATCTTTTTATGATTATCAGGATGGGTAAGGGCAGGAAGAAAAGAGGAGGTGGTTTCAAAGTAAAAAATCTGTTCACCAAGCTTAAATTTAAAGTGGAACTGGAGACCTGATTGCAAATACGGGACCTGATACTTAATTTTAAAAGCTCTTCTGTTCTAATGGCGTGCAATGAAATGTGAAGTAACATTGCACTGTCCTTTATTTATCTCCATTACAAATGGGACTGTAGATCTGGCAGTAAATGAGCACTCTGATTTATTGCCTGACTTCATATTGACTAAGACATGTTTCATAAAAGGATAAAACCCTACCACTCCTGTAGCTTTCCCAGGATTTGGAGAAGGGACTAGAGCATGAAACAGTCCCCAAAAGTCCCACATCTGACCAAGAAAAGGTCTTTCCATGAAAACACTGCAAATGATAGCCACAAGGGCCCTTTCAGAAACGTGGAAAAATAGGAAACATAGACCAGACCAGAAGCCACTTCAGTTCTGGGCAAGAAAGGGCTCAGAGGGCTCAAGGTCAGTACAAGGCACCAAATGTTCACGATGAAAACCATCGTGACTCCCTGTTCACCAGGAGACAAATTCTGCTTCAGATATTTTCAAGGCTGTAGCTTTCCCAGTAGCTTAGTCAACCTTGAAGACTCAGAACAAACAGTACACATGGGAATTTCCCAGCACGTGGCTAATTTTTTTTAAATTCTGGTTTACATGATGTGCACCAGCATATTTCTGTCCAACCAGAAACGTTTTTCAAAACAACAGAGAAATATACGAAGTGTGTTCCCATTGTGTTTTTGTGTCTAGACCACAGGGAAAAGTCACAAGACAGGAAATTCCTCTGCCTTTCTGCAGCCTGACATGAAAAGAGCAGGACTGGTTAGTTATATAAATATGGTTATGCATGTATTTCAACAAGTTATGGTGCTCTTAATGTTTGCATTCAGAGTGGGGGGATTAGATCCTTCTCTTCGTAAAGTTCTACCAGTCAGTTTAAACAGCTCTCAAAAATCTGGTCTTTTTTATTTTCTTGGGGACGATCTAAGAAAGAAAACTCAGCTCAAGCCATCAAATGAACATATCAGCAAAGAGAATTCTTCAAGAACTCCCAGCTTGGATTCTCCCACAGACATAGTTTTAAATGTAAAGTCCCTTTTCCTATACTGAGTTTTTGTTTTTGTTGTCTCTATGGTTTGTAATTATTAAGCAGACAGATTCCAACCAGTTCTTCTACTCTGTCATCTCTTTCTACATTCCTAGTGCCACCGTCTGCCAGCAGGACTGGCAAAATCCCCAGGGAGCCACAACAGGAGTGTGTTCTGTATGCATGTTGCCGCTCTCACCTCCAGTGTTTTTATCACTCTCCACTGTATCACCTGAGCAGCCGAAACTATGCTTTTGCCTCTCAACAGTATGAGCTGAAGAACCAATCAACTACTTTCTTTTACCTGCAAAGCTTTCTTGTACCAGTTCTAGCTGGCTCAGTATCTCAGTATCAAAAGCTTTGTTGTCAAAAAGTTTTGTATTTCAGATATAAATTGGGTCAAGAATTGATTTCATGTTCTCAAACTCAAGAGCATTTATTAAAAGCAATTTTAGGTGACAATCCATTCAAAATCCTAACACATTGCAACTTCATCACACGATGTGGTGACGCCTTTCAAATTCCACCACCAACAGCACATCACTTTCCAAAAAATTCAAGGCAACATAAGGCTGAGTGCACACAGTGAGCTGAATAATGCTCCCAGTGAAGCTGTAGCAGTCCTGAGACACAGCTCAGAGGCAGTTCCATAACCAATCTGTCAAAACATACCACTTGCAGAAACACAATGTCATTTCAGCATTCCAGTTTTGGCTGGAGAGGTGAAGCAACTCAGCACAAATAAAAAGATACTTAGGGAAGTCATGCATGAGGGTAATAAAAACTGAGAAGTGTGGGACTGAAGGCAAAAGCACGATATAAGAGGGAACTTGGGCATAACAGCATTATGGCTTCACTGAGTATGCTCCCCCAGTCCTGCCTTTCAGTGGTCAAGGATGTTTCTTTCCTATTTCGTACTCCATAAAACTCCTCGTACCTCCCATAAAACACAGGAGATGGGACAGAGACAAAGGCATAAAACAGACAAAAATCAGCTGATTTCCTAAGGGTTAATGTAGCATGTCTCCACAGAGGAAGCAATAGTTTTGAAAGAAACAAAGAAAACGGATGTGTCAGGGTACTCCAATTGCGACTGACGCAAAGATAAAAAAACCTAAAACAATTACACACAAGACTGAATCACAGACATTTGTCGACTGTGTAGGATACGTTTCAAACTAACAGATTTCACACAAGTTGGATTATACAATGTTTTTGTTTACAAGGTCTGCTATAGAATAAACTCTATCAAACGGTGCCTTTCAAACAGCTTGTATTTTAACATACAGACATCAAAAGGACACACAGCAGGTTGTGTATTTTTAAACACTGCTTGATTCATTTTTTTATAAACAGCATAGCTATAGCTGTAGTTGAGAATGTAGTAAGCGACAAGCCAATAAAATTCAGTTGTTCCAGACAGAAACAAGTCCTGTGTTGATGACATGAACATGGGCACAATTCTTTGGACCTCTGGTAGCACATTGCTAATGCACTAAATTCCATTAAATTGTCTAGGTGTGCGTCCTTTTGCACAAGTGTTGGGAGATCCAAAGAGCTCCTCCAGTGGACCCAGAGAGGTTCCAGAGCCTCAACAAAATCTAGGTGGGTCTGAATAACAACAGAGGGAACACTGTAAGAAGCCTTATTTAACATCCTCTCCCTGTCACGCACGTGCAACATCGCAAAGACTGATTTTCCAAACAAACTAAAATAAAAGGAAGGTAAATGGCTGAACAACACCTGTGAAAAAAGACTAACAGTGCACCACATCAAGCTGCCTAACACTAGGATAACCTTATGCAATAACTCTCTGGAGCCAAAGAGTCTGGAACCTCAAGCTTCATATAACACGTTTTTCATCAGTGCACACAAAACAAACACAACAATCACCACCACCCTTCATCTCCCATTCCTTTGCCATCTACAAGTTGCATCCAGTGAGAGACCAGGCCAAAAGCTGCACTGATCTCACCCTGGGAATTTCCATTCCATATACACACTGTACTCCTCTCTCTCAAACACAAACTCTTACTGCACATCACACTAAAAGCAAGAGCTCTTCCCATTCTACTGTTTTTAACACAGAAGAAAGATGTCTTTAAACCCAAGCAGCAAATTGTGTTTTGGTTAGAAAGAGGTCAGGTTGAAAGCAATTATGAAAGAGGGAAAGAATGCCATTTTCACAAAGCATTAACTTCCAGCTCTCATATACTGAAGAAGCAAACAAAGACAGACATTTCCCCCAATCCTGTGCAGCACTTTTAAAGGTCACCCTACAGAAGGAAGGACAGGGGGCAAGCAGGCACGGGTATTGTGTGGAAAATGATTAAGTTGCAGAAATAAACTGTAGACTCAGAGAGGTGAAATGATGGAAAACCCACTGACTTCAGTCAAGTCTGGACTTCCCCCTCAAAAGGCTGCCAAGAAAAGCTTTCTGTTATGTCATGACAGATGGAGGAAAAATATAACGTTAAACAGTCAACTTTACCAGAAATTGTCACCAAGACATTCAGGCCTTCAAGTACATCCATCTGCTGGAATCGTCTTCGATTGATGAGCGGATAAACCTTCCCCTGCCCACTTCTATCTAGGAGCATCAGACCGCTTTCAGTGCCCACTAACAAGTTCACTCCTAGAAGAAATAAAACCAAAGATCCAAGTTAGTAGGCACATTTTCCACATATTCTGATGAACTGATGATTGATATAGCAACTGTCTTGTTTGAAGCAGGTCTAACCACTACTGGATGGGTCTCAGTTGCCTGCAGCCTAAAAGATCTCATGATGTAGAGGCTGTCTACATTACCTGCCCATAGTGACTGCTGACAACAAACCATCCATGTTCAAAAGAGTAAGAGACTGGTAGACCACAGAAGACTTTCTAGAATCAGAATCACAGAATATGCTGAGTTGGAAGGGAACCTCAAGGATCATCAAGTCCAACTCCTGGCCCTGCACAGGACCATCCCCAAGAGTCACACCATGTGTCTGAGTGTATTGCTGAAATGTTTCTTGAACTCTGTCAGGCTTGGTGCTGTGACCACTTCCCTGAGGAGCCTGTTCCAGTGCCCAACCACCCTCTCAGTGAAAAACTTTTTTCTAATATCCAACCTAAACCTCCCCTGACACAATTTCAGGCCATTCCTTCAGGTTCTGTCACTAGTCACTACAGAAAAGAGATCAGTGTCTGCCTCTCTTCTTCCCCACACGAGGAAGTTGTAGACTGCAATGAGGTCCTCCTCCATCTCCTCTTCTCCAGCATGAACACACCAAGTGACCTCAGCTGCTCCTCATACGGCTTCCCATCAAGGCCCTTCACCATCTTCACTGCCCTCTTTTGGACTCTCTCTAATAGCTTAATATCTTTCTTATATTGTGGTGCCCAAAACTGCACACAATATTCCAGGTGAGGCTGCACCAGTGCAGAGCAGAGTTGGACAATCACCTCCCTCAACTGGCTGGTGATGCTTTGCCTGATGTCCCCCAGGACATGGTTGGCCCTCCTGGCTGCCAGGGCACTGCTGATTCATATCCAACTTGCCATCAACCAGGACCCTCAGCTCCCTTTCCATGGCACTGCTTTCCAGCACCTCATTCCCCAGCTTATGTACATCCAGGGTTCCCTCATCCCAGGCACAGAATCCGGCACTTTCCCTTGTTGAACTTCATATGGTTGGTGATTGCCCAGTCCTCTAATTAGTTGGGGTCTCTCTGCAGGGCCTCCCTGCCTTCCAGGAGTCAACAGCTGCTCCCAGTCTTGTGTCATCTGCAAACTTGCTTAGCATCCCTTCCAGTCCTGTGTCCAAGTCATTTCTGAAGATGTTGAAGAGCACAGAGCCCAAGATGGAGCCCTGTGAAACCCCACTAGTGACAGGTCACCAGTCTGATACTACCCTATTCACTATTACTCTCTGTGCTCAACCAGTGAGCCTACTGCTCACTGTTTATCCAGTTGTGTGCTGGACAGAGCATCAGTTCCCAAACAAAAAAGCACGCTAATGCTGGAAGAGGGGTGAGGGGTACCAAAACTCACAAAAAATGATCACAGTTATATTTCTTAATGGCCTTAATCCCTAGTCAGACAGTTAAACCTCAGATACAACTGTATTGGTGTCACTGGGCCATTTGGGCTGATCCCATAATGAACCTTTTCTAATACAGCAGGTGGGCCCAGTGCAAAGGTGTATATCTCAGTGTGGTCTGCATCTGTAGGAGTGACATGCCTTCTCACAGTACTAAAAAAGGGCATTGCTCCCCTAAACAACACCCTGGCCACCAAGCATGGGAGTGGTTTGCAAAAGGGAGGGCACGTTAACCTGACCCAGGGGGCACAAGGTGTCTCTGAAGGGGAAGAGGGTGTTAAGGGGGAGCAGAGTGGCAGCCAGGAGGAAGCAATGATGGGGAAGGAAGCTGAGCTACAGGTGCTGGAGCACCCTGAAAAGCCTCTGAGTGAATGGGAAAAACAGATGTAGCCTACTGGGAGGTCAGAAACCATCATGCATCTTCATTTTCCTCTCTCTCACCTTTTCAGTAAGAAAACTGCAGAGGTCCCAGCAGTCCCCACAATCATGTATCTTTTCTCAGATTTGCTGCTCTGCTACTTCTCCTGGGAGGCGTGTCATCCTCCCAGGCTCTCCAGCTACTGACACCTCCTTCATCCCCATCCTGCCCACCTATTGCTTCTGCATTCCCCTCATGGTTTGCACCCACTGGATCCCATCCCACAGCTCCCATGGGCATTTCACCAAAAGAACACTTCACACAGACTGTCTCTCATACTGAGAGACATCCTCAAATTGGGAAGTGGCAGAAGAAAGCAGGAAGAGTGACATACACACAAATCAGGTCTGAGCACAGGCTGCAGCAGCACCAAACCAGCCTAGGAAGTGCCCAGCAGTTGGTCTCCTTCCTGCAGCTCCAGGACCCACTGACTAAAGCTGTAAGTGATTCAACTTCAACATGCATTTCTGTATTTTTTCCAGTGTAGATTACAATTCAAAACAAGCCACATGCAAACTGCTCACTCAGGGTCCCTTACGCTCTTTGCTCATCACGGCTCCGTTGCTTGCGCCTCCACCCCAGTCTCTCCTGCTGCCCTTGTGGTGCAGTTGTTTCTGCTTCAAGTTCACATGCACACTTGTCCCTGATCCCTTCCCTTAGCTATATGCATTTTGAGATGAAACTAATGAGGTACTACGCTGGTGGCAAGCAGCGCTTGTATTTTAAAATGCAAGCACCCTCATTACTCACAGACAGCAGAGCTCTTCTACCACCACCCTACAATTAAGCAGTTCTGTTTTTTTCAAACAAATGGAAATGCTTCCTGGAAAAGTACAGGCTGGTTGTGGAGGCTGGGTGTAAAAATCTATCCTACTGCATCCATATCATTAACATTGACTATTATCACTCAGAACTAGAAGAAACAATATCACAGACCTAATGCAATCAGCAGTCTGCCAGATACTACTGGCATTACCACTGGTAAAGACAAAGCAAAGCAAGCCCCCCTCTTTTTTAATAAGAAGCATGAAATTGTTTAACTTGCTTAAGGGTAGAGGAAGCTAAACCTTACCAAGAAATAAGCATGTGTACCAGCTTGTATCACCATCAGTTTGGCCCTAAATGTTTAACAAGGAAGGGCCATGTCACAGTTGTAACACACTTCTAGGATTTTACATCTTTTTTGAAATCACCCTAACAGTCAGATACAGAGATCAAAGAAATATAAAACCATTAACAAGAATTGCTACTGGCAAAACAAGGCAGATTGGAGAAATTATGAATCATCTTTACTGATACCACATGATTTCTCTCTGCCTTTGCCCTCTCACAGCCTGAAAGTTTATATTTGCACAAGTCCTCATTTTATCCTTTTATACACATGAATACAAGCAGAAATAGCATTGGGGTAAAAATTCTTACCAGTAAATTCTGGAAATAAAGAAAACAGCAGATAGGAAGATAAGGTGTTGGGAGAGCTCTTTAACTGACACAGCTTTGCAGGCAAGAAGACTGAGACAACAGTGCTGTTCTGAGAAAAAAAGAAATGGTGGAAATAACCCCAAAAGAGAACTAAGGCCCTGGAAAGAGCAATGAAAATGCAGAAAAGATAAGTAGACTGTGTCACCTATACAATCATCATGTGACTCAGGGGTATGGCCAACTCTCTTCTTTATAGTTTTTAAAATTACATGCATGTGCATTTACAGTCTGCCAAATTTCGGCATATTAGACAAATATGTATGTAACATACACAAGCATCATTTATTAACATCTAGATAACAAAAAATATGTGCCCCCATAGATTCTGGTCAAGAAACAAATGGCATAGCAGAAGAAAGCTCTCCCTGGGTGTTGCAGCATTGATGTCACATTGTAGCAGGCAACAAGCACTGCTCTAAGAGTGGTGAAGTGTGGGATCCTGACTAACTGGTCTGGCACCAACACAAATTATTCCTTGTGACAAGAAGACCAGACACATTTGGTCAGATGACATTTCATATCCAGCTTCTCTCTGCAGTAACCACTCTTAACAAAGCTAAGTCACAGTCTCAGAATGGAAAATGTCCCTTCTACCCTCCTCTTTTCCCTCTTCCTTCCTACATAAACTGATGACTGAGGTGGCAAGTCATCTTACGAAGCACATCTTAATCAAGCTCTGCAACAATACAATAGCAAGAGGCTCAAGAAGATGATTATTTTTCAAAAGAAATACCATGTGTACCAGGTGTACAATGTAAGGACTACTACAAGCTCCAAAAAGCTGCAAGAGATGTACCAGGAGGGTTTAGAAAAAGCTGAAAAGGACATCCTGATCAACTGAATGAAGCCTCTCCCAGGCAACTTGTGACAGAACAAAAGGACTCAAGATGCACCAGGGTAGGTTCGGGACGGACACCAGGAAGAAGGGTGGTTAAGCATTGGAACAGGCTGCCCAGGGTGGTGGTAGAGTTGCCATCCCTGCAAGTGTTCAAGAAACAGCTGGATGTGGCACATAGTGCTATGGTCTGGTTGATATGGTGGTGTTCGGCCAAAGGTTGGACTCGAGGATCTTGAAGGTCTTTTCCAACCTTAATGATTCTAATGATTCTGTGATTCTAAGTCTGAACTATGCAATCAGAAGCATATATACCAGTGGGAAATAATATCAAAGCAGAAGCAACATAATGTAAACAACACAATAATAATCAGCTCTTGCAACAAGAAGATGCAAATAAGCACTGAATAAACGCAGAGGAACAGCTACAGTTTCGGAGGTACATCATCGAAGACTGCAAGCTCATACTGGCGTGTCTACACTTCAGAAGTGCAGGAGGCAAGGGAAGAACACGTTTGCATTACCCCATAAGGCAGCACACAGTATCTCAGAATTGAATCTCTTCTTGTATTTGCGAATCTCTGGTGTATCACTCTGTGGCCGAGTATTCGTGGGATTCACATTGACAACTGATCCTTTCCGTGTAGGGTCTTGCCTTATTGCTTCTGATCTCATTGCTTCACTAGAAAATCCTACTGAAAAAAAGAAAAGTGCATGTAATATCCCTCAAGTGCTAAATTCTGGCCATATACTCTTGACATTATACAACCCAAATCAGTAACTGAGAATACTGAGAAAGTCTTTCTTTTTGTAAGAAATGTAAATGGAAAAAGAAAATAAACTATGCAATCCATTGCAAATTAAATAAAAAGCATGATGGTAACATTCTTAAGTACTTTAAAGAGCCACTGAACCCTTTTTCAGTTGTTGTCTTCAGCTACTTTACTTACCCACAGAAGTCACAGTTGTCCCACTAGATGGAGAAATCTGTAGTAATCTGGGGTCTATAAAAGGTGTAAAGGAGGAGGAAGATTTGTGTTTCTGGAGTGTGTTACTAGCGGACTGAGTCTGCAATGTAAATTTCAACTTTATTAATATTAATGACAATAAAAAGCATGGATAACAACAACCAACGTTTTAAAGTTACTACAGAATTATGCTACAAAACCTCCCCAAACCTTTATACTTCCTTTATAGATACACAACGCACTACAGGCACCACACCTGAACTAGATACATACGCACACCACACGTTACAGCAAAATGTCATCCCTGAAACTCAGTTGCTAGCAAAGCCTTTTACAACAGGCCACTACAATCAGGCACAAGGGGAATGTCTCTCCTTTTAAAAATCTGCTTAAATGGAGGTATACTATTTTATCTGCAAGTTGTCCACTACCTACAGTTTTTGAATTTATGAAGCATCTCCTGAATTGAGTTAGTTTAATAAATTATGAAGTTTGATCTCTTGGCTTGTGCAACAAAATCAGAACCATCTGGGATCAAGCATTCACTTCTATTATGGATTATGTTTCAATGTTTGCTACTGTTCATTCTCCCTATTTTGTTTAACCTGAGCCTCTTGCCAGAAAGCTGCAGCAGGTTCTTCCACCTTTATTTGACAAAGCAATGTATTAAACCTGTATCGAACAAAGGGGCTCATTAGTGTGGAAGGTGTAGCAAACGGTGACATGACACTATGAATATGTAGTGGATAAAATCACTGGTGCTTGCTGAGTTATGAGGTCTAAACATGAAAAAACAAAGAAAGAAAGAAGTGAAACAATGAACTGTTAAAAGTGGAAATGAAACGACTTAAAAACTCTTGCCAGTTTAGTATTATAGTGACAACATTGCATAATGAAGCAGAACGGGACAAGTGAAAAAATAGTATATATATAAAGGGTGTGCATGTGGGTAAGTTATACCAAGCAGTACTGGGTTTTTGTTCAGCTTTATGCAAATGTAGTTATGAGACACTTCTTTAGCATCAACTAATCTTCAACTTATGATCTTCCTAAGCCTCTACTCTGCAGAAAAAACCCAGAAATTTGTCTTCAGAGTGTATCGGTCCCCTGCACAGCTCAATACCAAAAGGTTCCTTCATCACCAGGTACTGCCCCAGCCTTCACTTCCTAAGCTGAGTTAAGTGAACCCTGCTTACTTATTGCTTAGATCAAAGTAATGAGCAAGCATATCTCTGGATCAATCAACTGATCTCTATAACCTACAAGTGTGCTTTTAGAAAGATCAAAGACCAGTGAAGCATATCTGAAAATTAAGTATTATGCTAAATGAATTTCCATGAGGAAACGCTCCCTCCCACCCTCTGGTTCAGAAGCATTTTTGATTATGTGGCAAACGCGTGCATTGCCATCAGCCTACCCAGCTCACTGTAACCTCTCCTCATCACAGCACTTGCACACCTACATGGCAAGACTCTAAGCAGCAGCTTCTCTTCACCAAGTTTTGCTCCCCTGTACCATTCCCCTGCTTAAGAGGCCCACCCTGTAAGCCAGACTGGCCACCCAGCCAGGAGTGGAGACACCATATCAGGCTCCTCACTTACTGCTAGGGTTGGTAAGAGCCAAACGATGCCCTTTGTTCATTCACATATGTGCCTCTTCTCTGCTGTGAGGGGTTACACACACAGGAAGGACCAGGCTTTCCCACCAGCACTTAGTAAGGGAAGATACTATCCTAGGATCAGCCCAGGAGAGCAAGAGGGAGCTTCCCCCATGGTGAAGCCTTCTCTACCTGGACATAAGCAGTGCTGGTGAACAGTCACCTTTACACAGCTGCTTTTCAGAATACACACATACTTGGAAAAAAAACAAATCTTTTTCCCCATTCATTATTCCAAAATAACAATACCTCAGGCTTTTACAACCCTCCCAGGCACCCCCTGATTTGTTCATTCAGCCCACGTGGCAAGGTTTAAAGAGCAAAATCCCTCTGCAGCTGCTTCCTCTCCCAAAAGGTGAGTTTCCACAAGCAGCTCCTCATATGTGTGGAGTTACTAGTCCAGCCTTTACTGACAAAGCCAAAATTAACTGCTAATTCTGAAGAGCCACATTGCTTGCAATTAGACTGCTCCCGGAATAAAACAGAATTAAAAAAAAAAAAGAGTATTGGCTTGAAAATGCTAGTAGTCAAGTTTAGTTTAAAATGAATGCCATGCAATTAATGACTCACTAAAGGAAGCAAAATAGTAAACTGGCAAGTTTGGCGTGGGACTGCTCTACAGTTAAGGGCTTCTTACACAGAACTGAAATGTGTTATTTGGAGGGTGGGAACAAAGGTGACAAGAAAAAAAAAAGCAGGGGAGATTGGCTGGAGTTCCTTTGCAAACTAGCTACTAGGCAATGCTGCTATAACCCTACAAAAGCAGCCAGCTGTGGTGTAAGACATACCTCATTAGTAGTTAGCTTGTCCTGGGGTGTCTGTGGGGACATGGTGGGTGTCGGCTGGCTGGAGGATGGGGAGGAGGAGGTGGAGGAAGTGGAGGAGGAATGGCTTTGCTGTAAGAGATCTGGCAAGAGGTGAATGCGACCGGCAAAGCCATTGCTCTCATGATGGCTGGCACGCTTTTTGTCAACTGTACTCTGTAGAAAAAACAGGCACACTTGTCTTGCTCAAGTGCTGCTTAAAGGTCTATATCCCTAACAACCTCTCTCCTTCTCTCCCTCACTTCCTACCTTTTCACATTTAGTTTTTAATTTATTTTTTTAAATAAGCTGATAATCCATGCTTTGATGCCTGGATGGAAAGGGAAAGTGGGCAGAGCTACTAGTATTCATCAAATTCCCACCTCTTCTGGCAGGCAAAAGCTTGGTTTGTGTGGTTGACTTGCACAGCCAGTTTCACCAATTCACAAAAGAGTGACTGTGCTGCTAAGTCCGACACCACAACAGGGACAAGCACATTTTTGAGGGTGGGGTGAGGATTTCTTTCCCTATTGTTTTGTTTAAAACTAACTTAGATCCTATAGAGATAGCAGTTTGGACTTTCTGGAGAATGCCTGCAGATAACTATTTAAAACAATAACCATGAAATCTTAATTTTCAAACCAGAGGGCTCAATTAAGAAATTGGCATTCAGTTGTGAAACTCAGAAATGCGATTACTGAGGAAACTCCTATAAGCTAGCACACTCATTAACACACAGGCTCATTTAAAAGCAGGGAATCATTATCTTTCAGAGGCACAAGAATGCAGTATTTTCAGAATCAAAGGAAACAACATAGCACTCTAGCTCTGTCCACATTCTCTGCTTCACCACCTATTCTACTTCTCCCCCACACCAACTGTTGCGTGAATTTGTATGTACATGTGTGTGTATGTTATTTGGGTGGTCTGTATGCCCTCAACTACAGCTTCAAAACAATTTTAAAAAGCCCTGAGTGCTCCCACCCCTGTCTCCCTCCTAGACCCACTCCTGAGACACATGTTTGGTCCTATGGTAAAACTAAACTAAGTTCTTCCTCCATGTACTTGCTCCACACACCTGTAGCTTTTCTACCCTTCTCTCCCACAGACTTTGAGATATTCTGCATGGTGCTGCCATGGGTGTCACCGGAAAGCATGCAAAACAGAAGCAAGGGCTACTCTCCTTCTTGCATGCATCAAACATCTTGCTCATCTGAAATCCACTACAGCTGTGTCTTGATAATACGAACAACAAATATAATGTAGAAACAGCATGGGTGAATGAGCGAGTGGGTTAATGAGCACAGAAAGGGTGCAGCACTGCACAGGGAAGGAAAAGCAATACCTGTCGAACAATTAAGGTGCCCTCCTTCGAAGGAGTCAAGGCAGGTTCACTCTCCACATCATCATGGACAATCATGGTTTTCACTGACTCTGTTTCACCATTGCTCAAGTTCAACGTTGACCTATTTGGCAGACAAGAAATAACTGGAGTGAGATAATAGCACTAGTGCCCTAGCTGTCACTGCCCTGCATCAAGGCACACTGAAAATTAATTTGTATTGTGACCAGAGTGGAATATTTAAAATATAACCTGCCTAGAAAAGCCTCTCTATAAAAACTCCACAAAAACAAACAAAAAAACAAAAAAACCCAAAAACATACACACAAAAAAAACCTCAACAAAAACACAAACAAACAAACCCCCAAACAAAAACAAAATAAAAAACCAAACTAAACAAACAAAAAAATCCCACCAAAATACTCAACAACCTTTTCCTTCAATCCCCTACTAGGGAAAACAGATGCAAAACACTGGTAGAAGAACTAACACTGCTCGGACATCATCTGGTCCAGAAGTAGATTCATCTGCTCCTTCTTGTTCCATATCATCATCTTCCTCATCTGTTGTCCCTGACTCCTCACTTGAGGAGGAGTAGTCTGTTACTTTATGTGGAGGTCGCACATCCTCCACTGCTCGCAATTCCTTTGCCAATGCAGTTAAATCCTGTTGGGAGAGGGGAGAAAAAAACCAAAACACTTGATGTTGTGACTAAGAGAGAAGAAGAGTTTGCAAGACAAATGCCCAGGATTAGTGCCCAAATTTTCTCACTTGTCCGCCACCATGTTTCCATTGTCCCAGCTGTAGTTTCCTCAGACTTACTCATTCCTAACAGTTATGAAAACTCACTTTCTGATAAATTAAAGCACCACAAGAGTCAACCTAAGAGGGTCTTGCCATATCATAGAAAAATGTGCATATTCTGAATCCCAACTACCCTGCTTATGACTTCAGTTTACTCTACTATACCATCTGAAGGACATATACAAGCACCAAGATCCACTCTCATATGGTTGACTGTCACAGTTTATTTTCCTAAACTTTTCAGGTTAATAGCACCCACCTACTATCAGAAGGGAAGGACCAACCTCTATGTTTCTTTAAGAAAGCTGACATATTTGGGTGCTAGGGCAGTATCATAAGAGATATGGCAAGAGAAGAAAGTTTTAAGGAAAGTTGGAAATACCATGAAAACTCACTGAGTTTCCCGAGATACAACTGGACACACAGTTGTAGTCAATTGTAATAGCAGCCAGATAAATGACACGTCAGAAATCTTTCACAGAAAGTAGCAACAATTTAAAGTCTTACCACTTCTCCCTGCACCATTCAGCCCAGTATTGGCACATTCAGGTCATATGCACGATCATTGATCCAGCCCCAGGAAGGAAGCACAGGATTGAAAGAGAGAAAGGCAAAAGTTAGGAAGAAAGAAGATCAGAGAGTAGAAATCAATCCCAGAAGCAGAGCAAAACCTAATGTTTAAAGTACTGTGATGTGTGCAGGCAACTGCACAGCTGAGAACGTGCTGCTACACCCACAGTTAGAAACTCAGCTCAAGCTGAAGTTCATCTCTGAGGGCACCATGAATAGAAGCTCACACCGTACTTTTTGTGAGTCCACCTAAGAGAGAAGGTGGACAAGGGAAAGTGGATGCAACTTACAGCAGGCTTGATAGGTCTGAAGACTTCCTTTTTCTCTTCAGGCTTTTTAGGTGCACTTTCATGACGCTGCGACGGCGAACCCTCTGATTTGGATGATGCTGCATGTGCCAAGACCCCAAAAGGAAGACCGAACAAAACAGATTAGGCAGAGAGCTAAAATATGTTTTTCTTACTTCACTTCGGAGAGAGGAAGAGGGGTGAGAAAACTATCAGGTGGTGTCTGACTGCATGACCTAAGTTTCACAAGTTCACTATTACAATGTCCCTGAAGGACTATACAAAAAGACATCACTAGCTGTGATTTGTATAGGTGCAACTGACCTATGACTGAAGCCAAAGTAAACAGTCACACAACTGCAAATCAAAAGACTCAAGTGTGGCCACAAGCTGCAAAACCTCCATCAGCATTCAATGTAGCCCAGCTGAGACCTATCCACAGCAGTCTGCACCCTGCCACCACCAAGATGACAGGCAACAAGCATCAAAATGTGCCCTTGCACACATAAGGAAGGGAGCTATGAGGGCATGGAGACTGGGATGTTTGCACATAGGAAAACGAAGCAGTGACTGGATGTAAATTAAAGAACAATTAATCTCTTTGACAATGACTTCTGTGCCTGTTGCCTTTCGGAAGCAAGGACATACAGCCAAGGGGGTACAGGAAGCTAACCCATCTTTGACACTGCATGCTCAAAGGTCATTCCACGTGGGGGTTAGCATCCTTAATTATTAAGCATTTCACAGCTTAATAAACTTAGACACACAGTATTACAAAGGGTGGGAGAAGGACTTACATCTCATCCTGAACCGCTCTCCAGACCCACTCTGAGAGCCGGGGTGGGAGCCAGGCTGTGAGCCAGAGTTGCTTGAACCCGAAGAACTCCCACTGCCTGGCCTTGGTACGAGCTTCTCCACCCTTTCCCACAGCAGACGAGGCTCTATATTGCTGTATCGGGGAGAAATTATTTGTCACACACTTCCGTTCCAAATTCCTGTTTCTAAACTCAAACATCACTCTTCCTCAGTGTTTCGCTAATAACTCATCTGAAAGAACACTAAGCTAAGGGTACCAGTGATGCTGCACAACCCAGGCAGTGGCTCCCTCTGCCATTGGCTCCCTCTACCTTATTTATGACGGTAAAAAAAAAACGTTTAGGTGGGTATAAGCTATTCTTTATATATGGAGATATCTACTTGCCATTCTTATGTATCTAACCTAAAGTGGACAGTTCCCTCAGCCTGCATGCAGCAGGTTTAAAATTGGCTCAGAATTCCCCTGGGCACCCAAGCTCAAGCCAAAAAGAATACCAGAATACCTTCACCCCCGTCTAGTGAGCCAGTTCCAGGGGAGCCTGTCCATTTTGCTCTGCTGAGCTCAGATGTCAGTCCCCTCCTCCCCCTTCCTAATCTCAGATGCTCTGTGTAACAGCTCATGGATGCTTTTCCCCCTCCTGAAGTCTGGTTCTGGCCAAGATGCCAGCAAGTTTCTGAGATCTCTTCACTTTAGATATTACAAACACTTCTGCTGCCAGTAATCCCCTCAGTATGCCTGAGTTGACCTGTGGCATCAAAAGGCAAGATGTTCATAAATGGCCACATTTTTTTCCAAAATCTTAAGGATATTGAAATTACTGCTAAAGTTACAGTGCAGGCAACTCAAAGGAGGAGAGGGAAGAAGAAATTTTGCCAGTCTTAGTTGACACATGGGCTACATCAAGGGAAATTAATATTAATCATTACTGAAAAAGGATCCAACATCATTGTCCTTTCATGTCCAACAGGCATTGGCCAAAAACTGTCTGGAAATGTCTGATTTCCCATGAGCCTGTTTCTTCCAAATCAAGAAAGGTGAGGACATTAGGCTTACAAACCTCGTGGAGTTTCTTTGACCTGCTTGGTTATTCTGTTGCCCACTGCCCTGCAGTGGAGAATCACGGCGGGACAGGACTGGTGATCGGGACGTTGTTCTCACAGGTACCTTGGGAGAAAAAAAGACTGTGTTAAACCCATGAAGAGGAGAGAGAGAAGAGGAAAATTAAACCTGTCCTGCCACAGAATATATTCTTAAGATTTTAACACTTTCTAAGTCCAAGCTAGCATCAATGACCAAAAGCAGTAAACAAACACCCATAAAACCAAAAGTTGGGATGCTATTCAGAATTTGAAGAGAACGCAAAGTTTAGTCTTAACATTAAATAGTGTTTAATAGTTACCACACGAACACATACACGCCCCACTACCCTCCCAACTACTGAGACATTTAAAAAGAATATGGCATTTTGACTGAAGCAGGGGAGGCACAAAGCAATTTGCTGAAACAGCATGAGAATTAGGAGAATAAGCTCAAGGAAACCAAACAAATGCCCGGGAATGGATCAGCAGAAGGCAAAGACTGGTGGGGGAGCAAGAATATACTCAGAAGAAGCAAATCCCAGTGGGGGGATGGGGGAGGAGAAGAAGAGGAAATATATTGAATGTTTCCTTTTTGTTCAGTTCCATCTCAATTTTAAATAAATGTATGATTCATAGTTTGGGTTGCTAACAGATGAAGAGGAAAATTAACTCTGAGCAATAACCTCAGGGATATTTTAAATTCTTTTCTGAATATGGCAATGACTTGTTAACTTTGCATAATAAATTGTTTCTCTGAAATAGCTGCATTCTGTAAATAATTTCCAATTTTATATGAAGCTTCAATATTGTACTTAAGGTTGATTATCATTAACCCATTGACTGAACATCTACATTAGGATCTGCCTTCCAAAATACTGTTACCAATGCTGGCACAAGGGCACAGTCTTCCCAGTGCCCAGGGTATCACATTCTTAAGAAAATTATAATTAATAATAAAAAAATAGCACACATCTGTCTTTCTACTCCTTACCCTTGGAGGCACCTCGTCACTGTCTGATCTAGCCCAAGCCTTTTGGGTGGGGTCAGGTACCTCCGACTTAGAGTCAGAACTCTGATTTAGCACTTCACTGCGTGAAGGTGGATATGGGTCCTGGGAACGAAGATGGTGATGAGCAAATTTGGGAGAAGGGTCACTGAAGGAATGGGATCGCGAGACAGGGGAAACATTGTTCTTGAGAGATGCCAGATGGGACCACTGTACCTTACAAGAAAACAAAACATAAAACATTCAATGCGCTCAGTATAACCGGCTTTCCAATTAACACAGAATAAAGGCAGGTGGGGTGGGCAGAGACAAATTGGTTATGGCATTAGGTAAGCGTGGGGTGGAATCAATGCACTTAAAAGCAAGGCAAGCGCCCAAAGAACGTAACAGACTGAAAATACAGCACATATGCATTTTTGGTGAGATATGCTCTCCACATACACATACACTGGTGCCCAGAAGAAAACAGGACCCAATATCTGCTCAATGAGACTGAGTCTAAAGGCCACTCAAGAAAGAAATTGCCTTCAATTCCCCGATCTTCAGTGGGCTTTGACCAGGTCTCATGGCAGCACTGGTGGGCTGGGAAATTTGAAGTGGACATCCAATTGAAGAAAAGTACAAAATTAAAGAATGCTCTGAATTGTGCAAACCAAAAGACATCTATGTTTCCTAATAAATTAGGAACTAGACACAGTTCCAAACTTTTGGAGAAAGACCATAACAAAAAGCCTTTATTCCTTTACAGTCATTGCAATATGTATAAAAAACATAATCTATATTGTATATATATGTACATATATATATTGTATACATATATACAATACTTACACCATATATGTACCATATACTGTACATATATACATATTTAGACACAAACTACACACACACACATTCAACTACATACATTAAGAAGGCACAAAGTGACTCCAGAGTCAAAATTCCATTGGGATTTCCACTGAAATCCCTATTGACCCTTCAGCCTGTTTCCTCCTTGTGTATAAACCTGTCTTTCAGAGTTGACTTCTGAAACTAAGGAAGAGGAAATGTCCTAACTGAGGAACATACTGTTTCCACACCTAGTAATTAACCAAAACTTTGCTTTCAATCCCAGTTTCAGTAGGTTGGATGTATTTGTTTTTGTATGATTATTATTTCCTCAATTTTAATACACACAGCTGTTGAAGAGCCTGATTATTCTTAATATGAGTGGAAGACACAGACTTTAAAAGTAGCTGGCACAGAGAACATGAAGATACAAGTCCAATATTTTGAAATAGTCATAGAGGTTTGAATATAAGCCAGGAATTAATGAGTAAGAGATGAAGTTCTGTCCTGATTTCTCCCACTCTCCCGTCTGTTCAAATTCTCCTGTTGCCCAAAAGAGTTGCAATACCTAGTCACAGTCAGGGATGTTGTTAGCTTGCAGTGTCATCAACAGACTTTATTTGAAAGAAGAAAATTCTGCATGGAAACAGGAACTGAATGCAGAACTATACCATTTAATTTAATACACCTAAATTGCTCAGAATTTATGGGCTATGTCTAAGTTTTAGACATAGGTTACTTTTTCAATTCATGCCATAATTCCTATGAGATCAGATATTAAGATCTGGAGGTTCTTCATCAGAAAAAAAACAGAACAACAGCTGCCATGCAGCTCAGTGGTTTCAACCTCTTTTTGATTTTCCAGAGGTGGTAGCAGCTGACAACAAACTTGCTTTTCTTAGTCATGTTTTGTAAATCTCTTTGAAACCATGCTCATACTATTAAAACCCACTTGTTCGGTTAGCTTCCCTCAGCAAGAATTTTAAAAACCAAGCAAGCTCACTTTTTTTCTGAGCATCCTTTTCATTGTAAATACATTGCACAGAGCAAATTCTGAATTGTAAAAGTGTTCTTCAACTGTCACCAGCGTTTAGTCCATGTCACTGTTGCACAGATAATAACAGAATGCAACAGTTCTAATCTAGCTCTAACATTAAAAAAACACACACACCCCCAAAAAAAACCACCACAAAACCCAAAAATCCATCAGTTTACCAAAAAAATAAGCAAAAACAGATAAAGAGCAAATCTAGTGAATAAGTTATGTTGTGTACCAGTGCTACCATTTACATAAGACTTTCTAAGTGCCAAAATCGCAAATTTGAAGAAAACCTGTTGGGACTTCTGCATTTCCTCCAGGCTCACCAGGATTTTCCTGGGCACTTACCTGGGGCTCCATTGGCCTCTGCAGGGCAGGCTGAGCAGGTTCTGAGTTTCCATTGGAAAAGGACTCTGATCTTGAAGGCACTGGTGGCTCCAACACTTTGCCCATCTGTTTAGACTGTGCTTCAGGGGAGCCCTGATTAGTTTTTCTAAATCTCTCTTCCACCTAAGCCAAAATAAACAGAGGTTAAGCCTTGAGTCAATAAAACCAATTACAGTAGAAATACAAAGGTGAGTACCACTTTTCTTTACCAAAAAGAAACCAAATACATCTGGGGTTTAGCAGGACTTTTTCCCTACCACTTTTGCCAGCACTGTAAGTTCACTGAGTGACCTACACCGAAGTGGTAATTGTGCCAATACGGAAAATCCATACTGGAAAGAGAGGAGATACGGGAGGTAGTTAGATGCGAGATAATATGAAGAAAGACCATTACTGGGCTTCTTTCTGCCTAGACTAATTATTATCCATCAGTATTTTCCCCACAAACAATAAAAAGGATATATGAAAACAGAAACAACTTTACAATATAAAGGTACATTTCCCACTGCTATCCCTTACTTTAGTTACCTACCTTATGAAACCAATGGTTTTGGATTATCTGCTTTCTTGTGCTTCTCTCCTTGGCAAAGGAAAAAGAGATAGGAGGATATACTTCTCTACCAGGTAATACTGGAGCCTGTTCGGCTTTAAGTACAAAACTGTAGGACTAATCATCCTCTCTCTTATCAAATACTCCCAACATAACCTCATAGGCTGCAGAGGACAACCCCAGCAGCTTGTTTCCTGTTGTCAGGAAGGTGCAGAAGTGATCATACATTAACGTCAAGAGCTTGTTGAAGGAAAGACTAAATCAGAATGTGCTTAGTCCTCAGAAGAACATCAAGCAAGATCCTCATGCAGAAACATTGACTCTTCCAAGGCCACAGCATTGAGAACAAAGTGCCAGGTATGAAGGGCAAGAGACAGAGAGAGGCTATAGGCAAAAAGTAAATATCCTCCTCAAATTTCCTAAGACCGTCTGTCACTGGAACCAGGGCAGCATGTGCGTTTCTGCCAGAGGAGCTACCTCTGAGGAATGCTAAACTCCCAGAATTTTATCAAAGCATCAAAGATCAACGTGGTAGCTTGGGCTGATTTCATGTGCTTTAAACCCTTGTGCCTGAAGCACAAAACCAGTACTGGGGTGGTTTCCTAGCAGTGGCAGTCTGGAGAGACTGGTTGTCAGAAGACAGAGGCAAATTTCCAGGACTCCTCACTTCAGCTGGGCTGCTTTACAAATCCAACCTGCCTCTGCTTTCCAAAATTTGAGGATGTAACAGTTTGCCTATGGGAACAAGCAGACAAGCTTCTGCCAGGTCTACACAAAATACATCACGTCTTGGGAAGAACAAGAAGAATGGAAGCAAGCATCTTCACCGTACAATTATTTTCACCACCATGTTCAAATTCACAGAGCCATCCTTTAAAGTTTAAAAAACAGGCCAGACTTCTTGTTATGAATAGAACAAGGAAAAGCCCCAAGTCCTTCTGTCTGAAGGAGCAGGTTTTCACATCTCTAGCGGTAGATGATAGGAGGTTTCTTCCACAAAGTACATGAACTGCATGAGCCACGTGTCTGCAAAACCAGGCAAGAAGTGGGAAAGAGACAGAGAGCGCACCCCTGGATAGAAACACACCCTGTTCCACTCATCTGACTGTCTGGACCTGAAAATGGTATTAAGCTCCAACCTCCTCGCTGCTTCCCAAAGCCAATCTTAGAAGTCCTTTGCCTTATATCCTCATTGCTACTGCAATGAGTTAAAAAACTGATCACCATTAGACTTTGCCAGAACAGGAAAGTTAGTCCACTTCAGCTTATCACCCCTATGGTCAGCATCTCCGCATATGGAGACTTTGTCTGAAAGTATGAGGCACAGAACACTCATTCTAATTCGCTATTTTATGTCAAGAAAGATGTCAGAGTTAATGCCTGCTCTTAAGATTAACTGGTGTCACTCCCACTGCCAGGCTATACTTCTACTACACTTTTTAAAAAGACTATTACACAGCAAGCTCTGGGAAGATTTGACTACTAACCAACATTTCCGTGCCTTCATTCGTTCTAGCTAGAGTAATCTCAAAAGAAAAAGACTACAACAAAAAAATAGCTGAGTCACTGGTTCTTCTAATGGATGTAACACTTGAGTCTTCATTAGTTTCTCTCCTTTTATACTCTGAAAGGAAAATGGAGCACATACAGTTCTGCATCACTCCAAAGCCAGCATTCAGGCCAGACAGAAGTGCTGGACTGGCACTATGCTTTCATTGAGATGGGCCAAGAGAGTGCAACAAGGACCAGAGGGCTGGTTCCATGTCTGCACCACTATATACCAGTACGTCCGAATTTATTCCAAGTAAGAGAGATGTACCAGATACGTCAACCATCAAGCAGAATGGATGAGATAGCACAAACATGGTTTATGAAAAACTTGGACAACAGCATCTAGAAGAAAATGAGTTTGTGTCCACCAAGCCCAAACAGCAATACTTCAAAGACTAAGAAGCACTACTGGATGAAGGCAAACCGAGAGCTATTTTATCATGTTCAGTAACCCCAAGGATATTTTTTGTTCTTGTTCCAAAATGTATTTACCTAGTTCCCACAGGCTGCTGATGAATGCCTTCAAGAGCTTTGACTAGCATTGCCCAGTCTGGTGGTTTGTGGGAAGTATGGCACTCAAGGGAAACATAAGAATAAGACCACTGAAAGAATGCCAAGTACGCATCAGAGGCAATTACTTGCTTAGCTTACCCATGGACCAATGGAGACAGGGGACCACTCACTGAAACTAACAGCACATTGGTGACTTCTGATTGATTTGTGAGTGCCTGAAGTCCAAGAAGGCAGCACCACAAAGTTTCAAAAGAGTAGGACGTGATCTCAGAATAGAATATTTAACACTTCAAAAATGAAATTAATGAAATTCTGGTTTGTGTTCACGAGAAGGAAATTTCAAAGAGCATATGTCAAAACATGTAAAAATGTGCTGTGTGCAAATATCCCTTATACATTTGTGCTTTCCAAATGACTCTCAATTTCCAATCACCAGCACTTGCCAGAGACACAGATAGCCAATGGCACCAATGCTTCCTACAAAAACATATCTGATGAAGCACAGATGTAACTTCCTGATGTGATGCTTCCAAAACTAGGTCCCTTTAGTCTGCAGCCTTCCAGACCTTCTTTCCAACTTTTATATATACTTCAAAACACTGAACTTCAGTGATTGCGGCAAAACTAATCAGAAGTAGCTCTCAAGTTTGGAAACCAGTGGCCAACAATTTAAAGTATTCTGCCTCTTATGAGTGACGCTTTGGCCTCCAACTGTACTGTAGCAGAACTGCACTCATGCTGATGCAAACAGGCAGAGGAGCAGTTAGCAGATTCCTGCCCACAAGCAGGACTTACCTCACGTGCTCTTTCAGCAGGCTCATAGTGGGATTTTGGCTCAGGGGTATGATAGCTTTGTTTATTTCTTTCTTGCTGCTGCTGCTGCTGTTGTTGCTGCTGCTGCTGTTGCTGCTGCTGCTGCTGCCGCCTGTGATCGTGCTGCAGCGACAGGAGGTAGGCTTGCTCCTGCTGCAACTGGCGCTGGAGTCGCTCTGCCTGTCGGTGTTCCTCCATCTCTCGCCATCTGTATTCCTTTGAGAGAACAGGTGAGTAATTCAAGACATGACACTGACTGTATGTTGGACGTGTCCCTATCCATCCCATTAAAAAGGCACCTTTCTGGTTGCTGTTGCGACTTTTTTTGTTTGTTTGTTTGTTTATTTCATTGTTAAAGTGTAACCAAGAGCTAAGTTAGACCCATATGGCTTGTGTCTCATGTTGGGAAAGTCAAGAGAGTACTGCTAAGCTTGACATGATTGGAGAGTTATGTCAAAACTGATTTTGATTAAAGGGAAAAAAAAGAGTTATTTATACTAAATCCAGTGTAAAGTTCATAAAACAATGACTTAGACCAACACTAGGCCATTGTACCCTGGGGTGGATTTACATATCATGTGTGGTTTTGATCTGCAACACAAGCACTCTAGTTCTTCACTGAATGCCAAGGTCTGTTCAGAAACTCGACCACCACACTAGAACTGTTCCACTTTAACATAAAGCCTCCTCTTACTGCCCAGAAAGCAGTGTGACCATACAGTACTTCTCATATGTGCCTGTCAGCCCACAACGCTTGCATAAATGGCCTTTTAATCGCGCTCCTTTGTTGTCTACTGTCAGTGCAGCTGTGCCCGACTGAGGGAAGCCTAGTACTGACCGGATAAATGGATCCTATAGCTACTGAACAAAACAGATACAGTGCTTTACCAGTAACATGGCCTGCTCCTGGAGCAGCTGCTGCTGTAGAATTTCCAAGTGCCGCTGCTCCTCTTCTAGCTGTCGCCTGATATACTCCTGTCACATAGAAATTACCCAGCAATAAATTTATTCAAAAGGAATGCATCAGAACCCCCTGGGTGGAACACCACACGCTACTTCCCCAGTTCAGCTTTAATGAGAAACGCACTTCAGGATGGATTAGTGCCTGCAGAACAATTTAGGAAGCCCTGCCTCCTAAGCATTGAATTTTGGCCCCTTCTGTTCTGAAATTTGCACTCCTGCAAATGTTACGGGCACGGGCCAGAGCTCGTTTATGTATTTTGGAAGTGGTTTCAAGAAGCAGCAAAATGCACTTGAAGGTTTTGGAAAGTTAAAACACAGCAAGTCTGATTCAACACAGCCAATACAAAGTCACATGCAAGTTGTATTAAACATTAGTGTGTTGCACTGGTGCGATGAACTGTTAGCAACAGCTAGAGCCAGGCATAGTGTAGGCAGAGCTGGAGCAAGCTCCCCCAAAGGGGCTCTGCCAAGTGCAGTTGGGACCTGCCCTGCCGTCTCCCCTGCTGCCCTCACCAGAAGTTTCTCCTGAGCAAACACTGCCAGCCTTGCTGAATTATGCGATGGTTATGACACAAACAAACATCCACCAGGAAACAGATATTAGACCAAACTCGCTTGCTCTCTATCCATTTCTTCACCTGCAGCCTCAATAGGTCGAGACATTTACCCACTGCTTCACCTACCCCCTGGCAGAACTCAAACTCTGAAGCACCAAACCCAAGCTGGTAACATCCTATCATGCAATTAATGGAAGTATGTAACATGTGCATGCGCGCACACACACAAGCACACGCACACAGTTACAGTGTATGCATAAAGAAATTAATGGATCAGTGATACAACGATGGGAGTTATAGAAAGTCTTGTGACAGACTGATGAGATACACTATACTGTTGTTACGCACATTGGCTGAGCCACAGTTTCAGTTAACAAAAATTCTAAGAGGAGACATGTCTTTTCTTTTAGAAAAAAGAATAAAAATTCAGAGTGGTTCAGCTTGGCCACATCAATTAACCATTTGTCATTACCGGCACTGTGCGTAATTAGCATTTCAACAGTTTAAAAAGCAGCTGGGGGAATACCCGGTGTCTGCCCAAAAGCAAATTGCTATGCAGTAATTAGAGATTTTCCATATATTTATTCCCATTTGTTAGTCTTCTCTCCTTTTGACTCAAAAATCTTTGAAACATACACAAACACAATAAAATTCCCCAGTAACACGATCATCAGTGATCTAAAATACAGTGACTTTATGTAAGAAAAAATTAAGATGTATCAGGGTCAAACTCAAAATTACTGAAGTTAATGAGAAATTTACAATCAGTCTCTAGGACAGAAGTTTTGGCCTTTTATTTGGGATCAGTATTTTGCAGTACATGCACAGTAAGTATTGCCCTGATTATCACGCTGATTAAAGTTACTAAGGGGTTTTAAAACATGCAGATTTCATGCATAAATATAGCAGCTGAATTTCACAGTTTAACAGGCTTCTCACCTGTACTTTCAATATATTAAGGGCATACTGACATAACTCAAGATATACTTGGTGCCTGAACTGGCATACATTATTAGAGCTCATTTTAAACAGACAGAGAGAGTAATTGTATATTTAAGTTTTAAGAAGGAAAACCCTCTGCAGCTCAAAGATTCCTTCTCAAATTCAGAGTATGCAAAGTTCATGACAAGCCTCTGACCAATTCTGGGTGGCAGAAGTTGACATGCAACAGAGCTGCCTTTCTCTTGGGAGGCCTTCTGAACAGGGGCATGTCCTGCAAGAACCCACTGATCCAGCAAGACAAGCCTAGAAACAATTTTCAGCCCCAGTGATGATTTTGCCAATTCTAATGATTTTTAGTCCAGCCCAGGGGCACAAGCTGAATTTAGAATGAGTACTGCAACAAGACTTCTTTTTTTTGAGGGAATATTGAGTCTGCCAGAATTTTCCATAAAGCACTACGATCTATGTTAGTGCATTTGCTGTCAAAGAAAACAAAGATGAAAGAGTTAGTGTTAGGTTGCCTCTAAGCTTCTTTAGGTTTACTAATTTTTAAAAAATTAAATTAGATTTAGAAGAAACAAACCTATTGCACATATATCTGTATCATGGACTCACCTGCTCCCTTTCTACCCTCCTCTTTTCCTCCTCTGCTCTTCTTCTCTCTTCCTCCTCCTTACGCCTCCTCTCCATTTCTTCCAGACGTCTTTTTTCCTCCTGTTCTCTCCGCCTTTGCTCACGCTCTTGTTGCCTCCGAGCTTCCCTTTCTCTTCTTTGTTGCTACGAAAAGGGAAAAGAAACCACAAAGTTTTACTTTTGTTGTTATCAAAGAAAGAGGTGGGGTTGCTTTCTATAGTGGAGTGAGGACTGGCAAGTTCTGCAACTGAGTGACAAAACATTTTATGCAAGTGTTCCACCAGGAAACTAACTCATAGCCAGCACATACCTATCTCTAAAAGCAGCCTCGCATACTCTCTCTGGTTTCTTCATGCGCGCACACACAAAGTCACATACCATGTTCCTGACAACCAAGGTGTGGAAGTCCACTGCTCTCTTCAAGAGAGGCTAACACTGAAATCCCAATCTTTGAACAACTGTTGAATTCAAATCTTAATCAGCGACAACTTCCTTGACATCAGCAAATTATCTACATCTTGCCAAAAGTGAATTATCAGCCCTACTGAATCAGCTAACTCAAATGACAACTATCTGAACTTTATGTAAGTAACTTCTCTCTTAAAATAGTTCATGGTGTGCTAAGAACTTGGTGGTGTTGGCCCAATGTCCAAGCTCAGTTTAACAGACTGCCCAAACTTTGCCTAAAAGAGACGAAAGGCTGACCAATAACACCTCAGCCCCTCCCAGAACATCAAAAGCACCTATATGTAAAAGAGGAAAAACAGCTGAACTAAGCTTTTACATTTACACAGATAAGCTTCCACACATGACCCAAATACAAACTGGTGCTGATAAGTCTGCTCAGGTCTGAAAATAACCTGGAAAACAGCTCTAGAAAGCATGAACTGATTCGTTTATGTCTACAGAGCACTACATATGACTTCAGAGGAGACATTTTAAATGCCCATACAGTCGTGACCAACTCCTCATGCACTTCAGCAGAAGCATCCAATTACTCCACCTACCTCAAAATCCCAGGCAGCCTCCCACAACTGCCTAAGTGTCAAAAGACCCAGCTGTCTCATTTTCAACCATCAACTGGAAATATCTCTACATTTACTTCCATTATAGGTTTCTATAATACGCTAAAAAATATAGAAGAAATTTAAACCAAAAAATAGCATGCACAAATTTAATCCCAGAGACAAAAATGAAAACGTATATTGGTTATTCCTTATCACATTTAGGTTAAGGTTAATACTATCACTAATTTCTGTTGAAGGAAAGCTGCCACAGATTTGCCAGTCTCAAGGCACTCCAAGTAGTCTTGCAAGAAAGAGCAGACTAAGCTTTTATTTGGGTTCACAAATCCAGTTACCGATGTGCATTTCATCGTTGTGCTCAACTGAACAAGCAAAGGTTACTTAATGGGATGAGTTTCCTCTGCTTGGCACGTTATCCTGCATTACTATGAAGTAAATGAAAAATCAACAGCTTTTCCACCTTCTGGAATCAATACTGACATGAGAGTGGATAAGAAACACGGGGGGAGGGGCACAGGAAGATGGTTCTTGGGGTTCTCTGACCTTTTCTTCAATGAGAAGTAGTGGATGTCCCATCCCTGGAAGTGTTCAAAGCCAGACTGGATGGGGCTTTCAGTGGTGGAAGGCATGGAGCTAGATGGTCTTTAAGGTCCCTCCCAACCCAAACCATTCTGTGACTTCATGAAGTAGAAACACTCAATACAGGCTGATTTCCAATTCTCTTTAATTAACTGAAGTTTGGGGAAAGATGCCACTTCTTGAAGACCACTGTTCAAATACACCCACACTGTAACTATGACGCCCTCCTTCCTGGCCCACAGCATCATCCTGGGTTCACTACCACCTTCCTGTGCCCCAAGACATAAGCTCTTTTCTCCCCCTTATTTTCTGTATCTTCTCAGAAACACAGCTTCCTTGCTCTTGCATCTCTTCTAACTAAATCCACTTACCAGCCTTTTTGCTTGTGCTTAAGCAAGCTCTCTTCAATGAAAGCAGATATAAAAATAGCAAAAGCGCTGCAAGGCAGCTATGGCATACAGTGCATTTCATAAGTTTCACTGCTTCCCCTCCCTCATTTTTTAAGCACTGTAAAAGGATTAAGTAGGCACTTTTATTTCTGAATATACACATCAGTGTCAAGCAATTTCTACTTTTAAGTCAATATATTCAGGTGCTTCTTGGCTAATCAAGTCTGACAGGCTCTTTGTTTAAGAAAACTAAGATGTGAAGTACAATAATATTGTTGCCTTGAGGATGCAAGAGACAGCACACTGTTGGCTGGCTAATATAATATGCACATTTATCAACTCAAACAATATTGTGTTGACATTGTTAAGCAGATATATTGCAAATCCTGAGATGGTATCATTCTCACTACAAGGAAGATGGGTAAATTCATTGCATCTTGAACTAATTCAGAAGTATTCAGCAATAATTATAACTGAACTTAGTGTGAGAAAAAAAGTTACAGATTGATTAAGAGAGCTGTTTTCCCATGGCATCACAAACTAAACAAAATCAATTTTTAAAAGATGAGATTTTTAAGCAAACCTTGATCCAGGTATCTAGCTCAGTACAAAAGTAGATCTTTGTTACTCAGCAAAAAAAAAAGGGGGGGAAAGAAGGATTCTCTGCCACCAGTGTGCATTGAAGTCAAATCTCCAAAGCACAAATGTGCTATTGCCTGTGTGCCAAAGTACACAGAGAGATGTGGTTTCTCAGTCTCACTTCCACCTTCCCATCAGACATAGCCTCAGCCCCTTGATGGGCGTGTGGAAAGGGAGGTACCTGGCACTGCAGGAGCCCGCACAAACATCTTGCATGATCCCCTTATTCCCAAGATCTAGCTGGAAAAGAAAGATTTCACTTCCTCTGTATGTGGCCTTTGAAACCTCAGAATCAAACTACTGGCCAATAACAAAATGGAATTTACTTTTAACAAGCTCAGGGAAAGGTAACCTACAGTGACAACCTTCTCTTGGGTCCTAGTCTACATCTTGTCAAAGCGATGGCAAAGCTGGTTGATGCAAAGCAAGTTGCATTGACCCAAGCTGGGTCCAGATCTTCTTTAGTTGGATATGGTATTGCCAACTTTCTGGCACATGTCAGATAAAAAGCTTATTTTCAAGGAGCTAACTGTAGACCAGAAGGTAAGGGCAAGAACTCTTCAAAGAAATTTCAGACATGCCAAAACAGAATTTTGACAGAGCCCATACTGCCTCAAATTACTGCATTTCACAAAATGGGCATTTACTATGCAGACAACATTAAAAAATAAAAATTAAAAAAAAAAATCCAAAAAGCACACATAGAAAACATTGTGTCAATACTCTGGCTCCTTGTCCGGTTCTTGCGTACAATAATGATGATCTCATAATGGAACCTGACATCTCCAAACTGGAAGTCCATGCAGTAGAGCATGATTTACCAGGAGGGGGCAATGCAACTACACATGCAGTTGGTGTATACCAACAAACTCAGGGTCTTCTTCATACAGTGAAATGATGAAGACAGATATAGATCCTCTAATTTAAAATTCATAAAATATTATTACTCTGTCTTATATTCAAAGATTGATAAATACATATATTAATTATTTCTTTCACAAAGAATTAGGTAGTCTGGTATCAGCTTAAGAAGAGATTATTAAAGAGACTTTAGCTTTGCTCACACTAGAGATAAACCAGAAGCAGAAGCAGAACTTCTTACTCGGTACCAATCCAAGCTGCAAGCAATTCAAATTAAGGAGATATGAATAATCTCCCCCTCTGAAAAAGACACAAAGCCCTGGCAAAAACTGCCTGCAGGTACACCTACATTAGCATCTTGGTTCGGATCAGGAGGGCTCTTTCGAAATGAATCAGCCAATCGTCTCCACTTATCCAGTTTTGTTTCATATTTTGAAGATGTCTTGGAGTGCCAACCACTCCTTTTGGACGAAATTAAAAAGGCAGATGCACTCCAACCACAAGCAGGCACACAGTCTAGACCTCAGCTAGTCCAAAGGAATTCCTCCAGTCTTTAAAGACATGGAGTGAAATCTTCAGGTCCTCAGTACTTTAATTATTGTACAATCTGCTTCTACAGGACTGTACTACTTGCCAGTGGAGCTATAACCTACCACTTCAAAAACATCCCTTAGGTTCTCATAGCCAGGGACAGAGGCACCATTTAATGAAGTTATCCTGAACTGTGGAGGTCCACACAGAATGGGATTCCAGCACAGCCAATTCTGAATTTTCCAAACCAGACTCAGTTTTGCTTAGTACAAATTCAAACACCTTTTTCATAGACAGCAGTTGTCTCCATGTTGCTGAACAGAAACACAGATACATACCTGATCAGCCAGAACAGCTCGGCTTTCTTGTTTGAGCTATCTAAACATTTACTTACATAGTTCACAGAATCACAGAATATACCAAGTTGGAAGGGATCCACAAGGATTATCAAGTCCAACTCCTGGCCCTGCACAGGACCATCCCCAAGAGTCACACCATGTGTCTGAGAGTATCATCCAAACACTTCCTGAACTCTGTCAGGCTTGGTGCTGTGACCACTTCCCTGAGGAGCCTGTTCCAGTGCCCAACCACCCTCTCAGTGAAAAACTTTTTTCTAATATCTAACCTAAACCTCCCAACACAACTTCAGGCCATTCCCTCGGGTTCTGTCACTGGTCACCACAGAAAAGAGATCAATGTCTGCCCCTCCTCTTCCCCACACGAGGAAGTTGTAGACTGCAATGAGGTCTCCCCTCCGTCTCCTCTTCTCCAGCATGAACACACCAAGTGACCTCAGCTGCTCCTCATACGGCTTCCCATCGAGGCCCTTCACCATCTTCACTGCCCTTCTTGGGACCCTCTCTAATAGCTTTATATATTTCTTACATTGAAGTTTCCAAAACCGCACACAATATTCCAGGTGAGGCTGCACCAGTGCACAGCAGAGCTGGACAATCACCTCCCTCGACTGGCTGGTGATGCTTTGCCTGATGTCCCCCAGGACATGGTTGACCCTCCTGGCTGTCAGGGCACTGCTGACTCATATTCAACTTGCCATCGACCAGGACCCCAAGCTCCCTTTCCACAGCACTGCTTTCCAGCACCTCATTCCCCAGGTTGTATGTACAGCCAGGGTTGCTCCATCCTGGTGCAGAATCCAACACTTCCCCTTGTTGAACTTTCATATGGTTGGTGACTGCCCAGTCCTCTGATTTGATGAGGTCTCTCTGCAGGACCTCCCTGCCTTCGAGGGAGTCAACAGCTCCTCTGAGTTTTGTGTCATCTGTAAACTTGCTTAGTATCCCTTCCAGTCCTGTATCCCAGTCATTCATGAAGATGTTGAAAAGCACAGGGCCTAAGACGGAGCCCTGTGGAACCCCTGGTCACCAGTCTGATGTTACCCCATTCACTATTACCCTCTGTGCTCCACCCATGAGCCAATTGCTCACCCACTACATGATGTGTTCATCCAGCTGTGTGATGGACAGTTTGTTCAGAAGGATCCTGTGAGAGACAGTATCAAAAGCTTTACTGAAATCCAAAAATATTACATTGACTGGCTTCCCTTGATCAACTAGGTGGGTTACCTTGTCATAAAAGGAAATCAGGTTTGATAAGCAGGACTTTCCTTGCATGAAGCCGTGCTGGCTGTGACCAGTGACTGTGTTGTTTTTCAGGTGTTCTTCAATACTTCCTAGAATAATCTTCTCCATAACTTTACCAGGCACTGAAGTGAGACTAACAGGCCTGCACTTTCCACGGTCCTCCTTCTTGGCCGTTCTTGAAAATCGGGACAATGTTCGCCAACTTCCAGTCAGCTGGGACCTGTCTGGATTCCCAAGACTGCTCAAAAATCATCTGGAGAGGTTTTGTGGTGACAACAGTCAGCTCTTTGAGGATTCTTGGGTGAACCCCATCAGACCCCATAGATTTGTAGGGATCCAGCTGGAGCAGCAGATCACACAATTTTAGGGTCAACTGGGAACTGATCATTCTGGCAGTCACGGTTTTCCAGCTCATGGCACTGACACCCCCTTGGTCCATTATCTGTGTTGAAGACAGAGGCAAAGAAAGCATTAAACACCTCTGCCTTGTCTCTGTCCCTGTTTGTGAGGTGACCGTCCTCATCCTGCACCGGGCCAATGATATTTATATACAGTCTATTGCCATTAATGTATTTGAAAAAATTCCTTTTATTGGCCCCCACATTTCTGGCCAGCTTCAACTCCAGTTCAGCTTTGGTTGCACGACTTTTTTCCCTACAGCAGCAAGAAGTATCTCTGTGTTCTTCCCATGTCACTTCACCTTGATTCCACTGGGCATAAACTTTCCTTTTTTGCCTTATTTCCAGAGAATATCCCTGTTCAGTCAAGCCGGCCTTCTGCCTCGCCTGCTTGACTTGCAACATTTGGGAATTGCTGCTCCTGTGCCCTTAGGAGGTAAACCGACCAGCACTGATGGACCCCAGTGCCTGCAAAAACATTTTCCCAGGGGACTTTACTTACTAATTCCCTGAGCAGTCTCAAGTCTGCTCTCCTCATGCTCAGAGTTGAGGTGTTGCTGGCACTTGTCCTCCTGCCAACAGAGATTTTAAACTCAGTTGCTTCATAGTCACTGTGGCCACCAATCTCAACTTCGCTCACAAGATCCACTCTGTTGACACGCAGCAGATCAAGTAGGACATCTTTCCAAGTCGGCTCCCTTAGGATCTGTTCCGTAAGTCGTCATCCAGGTTTTTAGGAATCTTCTGGCCTGGGTTCTACCATCTGTGTGATGATCCCAGTTAACTTCTGGCAAGTTGAAGTCCCCCATAAGGACAAGGGCAGTTCACTTGGAAGTGCCCTTAGATCCTCAAAGAATAATTTGTCAGCGTCCTGGCTGGGAGGCCTATAGCAGACTCCCACGATGACATCCGCATTTGTTTGCCCCTTGATTCTTACCCAGAGGCTCTCAACTGTTCCATTGCCAACTGTGAGCTCCATACATTCTAACCCTTCTATAACATACAGTGTCATCCCTCCGCCTCTTCTGCCCTGCATATCCCTCCTGAAGAGCCTGTAACTGTCCAACAGGGTACTCCAGTCATAGGACTCATCCCATCAGGTTTCACTTATGCCATTGATGTCAAATTTCTGGGATCGGGTCAAAACTTTGAGCTCCTCTTGTTTGTTCCTCATGTTGCATGCACTGGTGTAGAAACATTTCAGTTGATAGTCTTTATATGACTCTTAAAGGAAGGTTGAACGTAGGACAAATAATACCCATCCCAAAATGTCTCGGGTCCTTTCCTATACTTTGACCTCATATCATTTTCACCTTCTCAGGAACACACAAATTATAAGGTTCCTGCAACAACAAGTTTTAGAAGTCACCTATATGCCTTTTAAAAAGTAATCTTTTCTCTAATACTGCTGAGAATTACAGTTTTGGCAGATGTCCTAAACACCGTTCCTGTTACAGTCTCGGTCAAAACTGTCTAGGCTCTGTGCCAGCATTGTAAGAACAAGCCCTCAATTTTAATATAGAAAGCAGGGAGGGGGGGAAGTATATGCAACTTGTCCAGGAAGATTATCTAATACATAAAATTCTAACAAAGAATATTAACTGGGTATATGCAAACATAAACTTACTTTACACAAGAAAAAATTGCAAGAAAGCAAGGCTTGGTAAAAATATCAACAAAGCTATGGAAGCCCTGAGACTCAATGCCTGACACTAATCTTAACTCCCATTATCAAGCTCTTCATTGTTTACTGGCTTCATCAAAACAGGGGGAGTGAGTTAAGGACAAAGTGACAACATTCCAATATTTTGGCCTTCAATTGTGTCACAACACTGATGTTTATCTAAATATATGTCTACCACCCTTCCCCCATATGAAAGAGCTTGTTTTGGCTGCTATTTTGTTAAAAATCACTTGGGATCATACATTTTTCCAACACAAGATCCAACAAACTAAACGGGGTTTTTTGTGAAAGCTAAATGTGAGGCCTTTTTTTAATTCACTTTAAGAACAATATGCCCACCCCTTCACCTGCAAAAGGAAACCGTTATAACTCATCATTCATATTTATGCCTCCAGGGGAATCAGGCAGAGGTTACAGATCAATACAAGGTAAAAAACTTATATCTTAAAAATTTTACATGGTTTATTGTGCAACCTTATTCAGTTACATGTTGTCTTGTGGATGTGGAAGCTGTCAATTTTGTTTTGTATTTTAAAAAGCAGGACTGATTAAACACAACTTTCAGGTAATTGTCTTTTCTTTTTAGTTGCTCATTAAGCTATGATATCTGCAACTTCCCCAAAAAGTTCAAACCATGCAAGGAAAACAGTGCACTGCTTTGTTTCCACTACTAGCAGCAGTGGAAACTTTTTTTTTTAAAAAGAAAATCTAGATTTTAAGAGTTGCACTCATTACTAAAGTTAAATGACCTAGATAATTTAATTGTAATCCTCTTCTTCAACAAAAATATACTGCCTGCAGAACCTTAGAGATTAAAGTGCCATTTAAGTGAAACCATTGACTCTCACACTAAGAAAAATTTGAGAGGCTAAACAGTAGCTCAACTTTTGCCCACCTTTGTCAATATCAATATTTTATTTTCATATTTTTCTAGTGTCTTTTTTTATTAGTTGCTCCCCCCACAAAATTGCTACAGAGTCTAAAAACACTTGGAAGTGCTACGATGTTTATCTTGGCATTCTTAGAAGGGTGGGGAAGAAACAGAAGAGAAATGGAGTTTATATGCCTCCCCCTTGTCTCTTCTCCTAGATTCATGTGTGGCTGAATCTTAGCTACCAATCTCTCCTTACAGCAGCACTAAACTCATTTGCACACTGAAAAAGAGGGATAAGGAGCATAATGTGACCTGGAAAGCTATTTGGAACTTTGTATTATTTGTTATGCAAACACATCATGGGATGCAAATCAACATTTGGTCCTGGTTGCGTCCTCATTAAACATTACCAGAATTTGGAAAACCAGACTGGGTGTAGTTTTTCCATCATTGCTAAGTGAACGGTTGAAACAGAGATGCAAGCAAGAGGTCATTTAAGGACGACTGGAATTTGACCCTGTACTTCCTGAAGAGCCAGAAGATTGGTTTCACTTCAGCTCTGTGTCATACCCAGCTCTGCCCTAAAGAGCTGTTTTGAAATCCTCCTACCTCCGAAGCTCACACTGCATATTCCATCTACATACATATATATAAATGCACATGAGACTTTAGGAGGTGAAAAGTATGACAGAACAATATTGAACATGTACATTCATTTTATCTTCCAGTAGTATATAGAAATTGCCTCCTTACTGTATCACAGAAAGATGGTTTACTTATTTGTAGTTCTTGCAGAATTATAATTTTAAAACTGATTTATAAAACATATTTATAGATGTACCTTTAAAGGCCCCTTCCAATCCAAATCATTCTATGATTCTACGATCTAGGTGGCTTTTAGTCATTAAGTTAATATGCATGAGAGAGTTTTACATTAAAAAATAGGCTTCTACCTACAAGAATAAATGCCAAACAAATGTTCGAGAAAGCTTTAAAGGGAAATTTGAGACATGTTATGGTCCCCCATACTCCCCAGAAATACTCTTGAAAAAAAAATTCACCTGGGAATAATTAATGTCTCCTGATCTATACAGCTACCTAAAGTCTAAACAGAGACCAAGACACAGCCTTCCCACACAAAACACCTTCAAACAACCCAGCTCTGGCTCTTGTTGCCTCCATTGGAGCTGCTGGATATTCAAATGCTTGGGAAGACAGCTTATATTCAAGTAGCCAGTGATGGATTTAAGTGCTTTGCTCTGCATTTGCAGTTGGATTTTCACATGCTGTTTTCTTTCCTGAGATGTGCTGGGGCTACAGGGAACTCTTTTTAAATGGGCGTAGAAATGGTAAACACAAATGGAAGAAGGGCTTCTGCCCCACAGACTCCGGTCTCCTGTTTCTACCTCTTCTAGCCGCCTCCTTTGCTCCTTCTGCTGCTCGATGCGCTTCTGCCTCTCTGCCAGCAGCTGCCTCTTGTACTCCTCCTGTTCACGGAGCTGCTGCTCCTGCAGCAGTTGCTGTCTCCGAAGGGCCTCAGACCGTTCCTTGTTTTCCTGCTGCAGTCTCAGGAAATCACGTCGGAGGGTTGATTCTCCAGGCACATTGACAATGGAACTGCAACAAGAGGAAGTTAAAGCCTCCAGTACAAAAGAGCCTGATGAGCCATTACATACCTTTTCCAAGCAGGAAATTTTTATTAAAATATTTAATAAAATATATTGTGATGTTAAAGTTTTATCTTATTTCTTTCAAAGCAAAGACACTGGGTGCATGTTAAATACATGCTCTCAGTGGAAGGTGTGAAATGAGGTCAAGCAAAATAAGGACCAATGCTGACATTGTGGAGACCCTGATCAATAGTATTTGCCATAAATCTCCCTCCATCCAGAGCTTGTTGGCTCTAAGCCATAGGAGGGGGAGCTTTAAAGCCTTTACCAGTCACGGCATAGGTATTCAAACTTTTTGGGTGGTTTGTGTGGCTTATGCATTCACTTAATAAGAGAGAAATTTAGTTTGCTCCTCATTCATAATCACAGACCTTTAGACTTACTTGGCATGGACTGCCCTGAGCCATCCCAAAAGCAATTATTACCTTGGCTCTCCTTCTTGTTCAGGCACTTCCTCCTCTTCTTCCTCACTTCCACTATATTCATACTCCGTCTCATCTAACAGGAAAGAAACAAAGGCCTAGGTAGTACTTATCTTTAATTTTAGGACAGTGGAGGGTTGCAGTAGCACCTCAGTGAACCATTTCCTGTCCCCTTCAGTGAAAAGATCTATCACAGACCCTAGAACTCATTCTATATATAAAACCCCATCTTCCCAGACTTGTAAAGGAGCACAGAAGACTTCCAGCAAGCTCCCTGAATGACACCAGGTTTCATATGTAAGACAAGACACCTCAGCAGCACCTGAATAAAGAGAAAAGGCTAGCCCAAACACTAGCTTCATAGCTCTTGTGATGGGTTATTTCATGCAAGTCTGATTTATGGCACTGTTTCAGGAAATGAAACAACTGCCGATCAAAAATGGGAAATGCGTATATGCCAATATCCTCCTAAATACCATTTAACACTTGTATGGATGGAAGAGGCAGTGGCCCAGAAGTGAGTAAACTCAATGTATTGGAAAATACAGCACTTGAAATTGATACTTTCTCTGTAAAGGACAGAACAACACAGAAGCCTGATGCTAGTCAAATTATGAATTAAAAAAGAACCTTTTAAGGACTTGGGTTGTTTGGAGTTTTTCTAGGGGTGGGGATTTAGAATGAAAAGCAGGACAAAAATATGTATTTTTGACAAGTTGAAATACTTGATTTTTATAAGCTGCATACCTTTCTCTCCTCTCTTCTTTCTGGTCCTGTCTATATGGTCCTTAAGCTGGATTCGGACTTGCCTTTCATTTGGTTGGTCACGTATAAAGGGATGTTTCAACAGTTGTTCTGTAGAAGGTCGCTGCATGTAATTCTTCACTAGACAACCTTCTATAAAGCTGAAAAACTTTTTTGACCTGAGAAAGCAGGAAGGAAAAAACAAAACAAAGTGACAGGTAAAACTCAACTGAAACATTTTTTATGTTCTTCTTCAAAGTCTAATTCCTTTCCTCAGAGAGCATCACATCTCAGAGGACAGTACAAGTGCTGCCTGCAAATGTACCTCCTAAACAAAGTTAAGTGTGTTCCAGCTAAGCTGAGCGTAATGGGCACAGGGCTGCAGGGACACAGGGTAACATGAACATACCTGCAGTGCTTAGGCACAGCCTCACAGTAATGTGCCCTCTTTCACAGGGATAATTACTCTGAAAGTCAGGATCTATTAGCGAAGGTAAATCATGCAAACCCAGCTCTGCTACTTCTTGATCAGAACTGGATAGAATTCCAGCTTGCTTGGAGCAGAGGCAGGGCAGCTCTGGTATGCCTTCACCTGCCCATGCTATCTAAGGGAATGTCTGCTACAGACAGCCATGCCAGAAGTCAGAAGAACTGCGTCTGCCACTACCAACACACGCAGCACCTCACTGCTCTTGTATGCACCTGGGCTCACCTAGTTAGATCTGCTAGAATTTAAGATTATTTTATTTCTTACCTGAAGAGTCACACAAAAAAATTCTTAGAGAACAACAGGTGGGTGTTGATCGGTGTTGTCTGTTCATGCACCTGGGGTCAAATTCTCTCTGACACAATTTAAGGGTGTGAACTACACACATCACAATGACAGGGTACAGGAGTTAGCTAAGCTGCAGCACCACCTTCCTAAATTTGCACTTCATTTGAACTCTCGAAAGACGTCTCCACTAAGAAGTCTCCAACAAGCCATCTTACAAAACGACAATACTGGAAATATTCAAAACTGCAGTGAGGCACTGGAACAGGCTGCCCAGAGAAGCTGTGGATGCCCCATCCCTGGAAGTGTTCAAGGCTAGATTGGATGTGGTCCTGAGCTACCTGAACTAGTGGGTGGCATCCCTGTCAATGGCAAGGTTTGGACCTAGATGATCTTTAACATCACTTCCGATCCAATCATTCTATGATGATTCTATGATTTTTTCATCACTTGGCCCATTTGCTCATAACCTGCCCCTGAGCATACTATCAGAACAGCTGAGTCACAACAGCACTGGCTTTGATCAGAGTCACTTTGTCATTGGTAGGTACTCTCAACCTGCGCCAGTGCTTGGAGAGCAAACATCTCCACTACATGGTTAAGTGTAAAAACAATTATTTCCATCCATCAGTTCACTTTCCTACTGTAATCAAAAAGGTTGAATTCAAGGTTACTTGGTTGTTTAGATTTTTTATTCCTCACACTTAAAGTGTTATTATTTTACATAAAAAGGTTAATGAAAGGCTTATGCAAATACTGTATATGCATCTCTATTCCTTTAATATATGTAGAAGGGAAATACGAGAGGGAGCACCCCTTAACAGTACAAGTGCATAAATAAGTCAATCCATGTAGAGACCAACCCCAGCAAGCAAGCCAAGTTTATATTATGTTGATATTGAACTGGCAGTCAAACCACTTCATTATTTTGACAGGATCACAGTATCCTGTGATCACATCCAATCTATAAGAAACCTCTTTCTAGGGAGTATTTTTTTTTTCATATGTGCCAGTTGTAACCAGTAACTGGGAGGAAATCCTCCGATACTAATGGATTCTGCTCAGCTGGCAAGAAGCATGCACTCAATTCCAACCGTTTACAATAATTATAGTAAAAGCCTTCATTAGTTTTAATAGCTCCTTTCTATTTAGCAACTAGAACACTATAGTACTGTTCTGTTTTGTGTTATGATACATCTGAGAAAACATAGTGCATATTAAGAGTGCTGCAGGAGTTTATTTTTTAAAATATCGATTCATTTGTCACCTTAATACAGATTCTGCTCTGTCAAGAAGCAATTTTCACACACAGTTCCAGATAAAATTTCTCTGAGACAAACAGAACTAAACAACGCATGAATTTTATTTCATGCTTTGGTTCAGTGGTACAAAAGATAACAGAGCGACTTTTGCCAACTTAAATTGCTTTGTAGTTCTGCGGAAGCGGTCACAAAACTGTACGTGACACAAGAAAACATCATGCTACAAAATGCTTCAAGCAAGATATAACTAATACATACCATTTCTTGGATTTTAACCGTGGTGGGGGGTTCCTGGGTATCAGAAAGAGAGCTCTCATGGGATGCATGTCACAAAGTGCTGAAGGGAAAAAAACAAAACCAAACAGAGACATACAGACACTGGTTTAGTTGCTCTGTCAGTACCATGACTTCAGTTTCCACAATCATTTCCACCATCCCAAATGTACATGCAGCAGGTGTAGACAGCAACACAGCTAAATGGAATTAGCCCAAAATTACAAGAGTTCCACAGCTCAGTGTGCCAAGGGTAGCCCAAAAAAGAGAAGGAGATAGAAGCACAGATTAACCTTCAGAATTAACCATGATGGGAACATCTGAGCATGGCCCTCCTCTAGCCACAAGTCATCTAACTTTTTTATTGACTTTCCAGTCAATAAAACATTGGGAGATGATGATGGCAGAAGGGAAGAATGACAGTTACTGTTTCATAAAAACTTCCCTCCACCTGCCCTTTGCTCCCACTATGGAGGATGCCTCGTTTCTACTCTCCCGACTTAGGTATTTTCTTTACTTCAAGGCATGAAAGTTTTAAAGCACGAGAGGGTGTGTATCACAAAAAAGGATTCCCTGCAGAACTGAAATGCAAGCCCATAACTTTGGTCAAAAGAAGTTCCGTTGCTTTCAGTGGACATTTAGTGGGAGCCCAGGAATTCTGCCCAACAGCCTTTCCTCCTGCCCCATAAGCAAAGCAAACAGGAAAGTAAGGGAAACCAAGCAGGGAGAGAGGCTGACCAAAAAAGGTCACTAGGAGCAAATCTTCTGTTTTAACCATCTTCCTGTGTTTGACATCTTGTACCATCAGTCTCAGCCTGAGTGATCACTGCAGGAAGAGGTGACATTTTCCACACAACGGAAATTCAGGAGAAACAAATTGATGTAAAGTGAATTCTGGATTCAAAAATAAGGGGCCACAATCTTGACAAAGAAGCCCCTTGGATGTCTGCAATCCCAGCAGAGCACCAACCTTAAAGATGGACTCTTCAGCTGCCACTGGAGGAGAAGGTAGGGCCTACATGCCAGAGGACAAGAGCTGTTCAGCATTTACATTGGATTTTTGCTTACTTCTGAAATGACCCTCTTGTGCGTTTACACAAAGAGGGGCCAAGCTCTGCTTAGGTTTGGAAATGAAAAAAAAATTGTTGTCCAATTCTAGTCTCACAAAGCCTACAGACACAGCTTTTAATTGAAAGCCATCCAGGCAACCCAATGCAATGAACTAAAAGGTATGGCAAAAAGGAGGTCATGGGGTAGCTCAAACACTTCATACAGCACTGGCTGAAGTGTCCTGGGAGCAGCTCTCACATGGGCATTCATGCAAATGTGCATGAATTAGGAAGGGGAAAAAAAACCCAAAATCAAACATCAGACTTCCTAAAACATGAATCAACACAAGAGCATTGTGATTTGATTTATAAATCTTACATTATAGTCAATAACAACAAAAATCAGACAGCAACTATAATGAAATGACCATTTTTTTGCCGGGAAATATCAGTACTTTATTTCAACATGATTATTTCAAAGACAGATGTTTCCAGTTGGGCTCTGGTGTGGTGGTAGTTTTCTATGTGTAAAAAAAATTAACTTACTCTTAAGTACCTTAAGTTATTATTTTTTAAATACAGAGCTCCAACTGAAGGTGAGGGTAAGCATATTTGCAAGTTCAAAATTTGCAATTTTCATAAAAATTATCATTAAAAGCCAAAATATCATGCCTAACTTCTTTTCTTTTCAAATGTTTCTGTCCTCCTCACATATATCTGCTGCCTTGATATTCCAAAAGAACTATATGAAAGGAAAAGAACATATTAGAAAGTTGTGCATTTTTGGTTTCCAATTCCCCTCTCAAAAAATATCCTATGAAATGACAATGATCCCTGCTTGAGGATACTTAAGTTCAGTGCTTTGTGTTGAAGATGGATTTACACTTTAAGTCATGTCACTGCTAAGGAAGACCAACACCACCCGCTGACGAGTGGAAACAAAAAGAGAAGCAATGTTAGCATTATCCAGGCCGACACAAAGTCAACACAGAAACAATTGCTACAGATGTGCTTTTCATTAAAGTCTGTTTCCTCAAGGCCCCACTGACCCTCTCCCCAGCTGAGGTTTCAGTATTCCAGGCCAGGCCATAGACAAATTGGGACACAACTCCAAAACACAATATTCTACCCATAGGAAGGAAGTCAGACACTTGATTAGCTTCCAAATATTCCTACTATAGAAATTAAATTACTGCAGTCTGCACTGTAGTGCTTAAACACAATCCTATCTTTATCAAAAGCATTGCTATTTACAGGATTTTATATTTATAGAGCAGGCAAAACCAAAGAGAACAGAAATAACATGAGGATACTTTCAGAAACCTCAAAACTAGGCTTAGATTACAACCAGCATCACCCAAGTATATGTCTCAGTCTTAATCAGCCCCCTGGAGAAGCACACATTTCACTTACGGGGAGCTCCTTCTGCCATCTCTATGGCTGTAATGCCGCATGACCAAAGGTCACTCTGCATAAAAAGAGAAAGACCATATGTTAGTAGGTGGATTTGCCCATTCAGACAGTAAGAGAGTACTATTTAGAGAGGCCCTGTAGGTGAGGCTGAAACCAAATACCATGGCTATTTAAATAATACAAGCTACTTTTTTCTTGTAACAGTATAATAAAATCCCTCTTTTCACATAATACATATGTATATGCAGAAATACAAGCACCTATTCTTACAGAGTGAGCAAACAACCCTTTCTAATAACACATAAAAATATATTCACATTATGACAATGGAAAATACATTTGCCAGATATTTAAGCCTGTGAAACAAGTTTCCAATACTCTCTTATTTAAAAAGGACTGAACAAGGATATTGCCAGGGTGTGTAGAGATACAGTTATAAACACAAAAGCTTAGCTCAAATTTAAAGTGGCCAGAGATATTAAAAACTACAAGAAAGGGTTCTTCGGGTACGTAAACAACAAGCAGGAACAGAAGGAAAATACCGACCCGTGTTAAAGAAGAGAGGTGAATTAGTCACCAACACCACTGAAAAGGCAGAGGTTCACAACATTTACTTCACCTCTGTCTGTACCAAAGACATTGTTTGCAGCCAAAGGCAACACTCCCCCCCTAATTTCTTAGCTTTATAGAACAAAAGTCCTTCAGCAGGAGCCTTTCAAGGTACCACCTCTGGCCAGCACCTCTGACTAGGGAGAGCCTGAACAAGAGCCAGGAAGGTCAAACACAGGCAAAAGATGGAAGATTCTGGCAAGGAACCAGCTCCAGAGACTGACACGGCTTAATGGGCAAAGTGCTGGAGGAGGCTGCTGTGAAAGAGCTGTTCTTGAGCAAAGTAGTTGTCCTGTCTGGTCATAATAGTGTTGTGTTTATTTCAAATTACTTAAAAGTAATGAGCAAATAAGCTCTTCATCTACTACAAGCAGAAAAGCATTTCCAACAATTGTATTTTCAGACACAGCAAGGCAATCTTTTCTCGTGGTCCAATTCAGCCATTTAAGCTAAACTGCACAACCTCATGACCTTACAGAATCTTTCAAACATGAAATTTTTGGGAGAGAGTGCCTTATAGGCTCCACTAGTAACAATTAACAGGTGTTTTCAGAGGCAGGAGGAATTGTTTTTCACATCACTACTGCTTTACAAATATTACAGAGAGTTTTTCTACTTTATTAGATCATTTAATAGCAAACCTTCCTTACTAATAACTCCACCTGCAAAGATATAAAGCATTATCTTTAGTACAGTGGGATGACAGATATAAAAAATTAAATCACGAGAAATAGGACCAATCTGATCATTCTCAGTCAAAAGGTACAAAAACACTGATTCAAATAATCTCGGTTTTTAAACAGATTTAGACATACACAAACATACCGATAGCTAACAACATTATCAGTCTGAGCAAATTGATATAATTATTTGATATAATTGATATTCATCTCCAGGACCTTAATCCCTGGCTTTCTGATGTTGTTGTTGCCCTTGGTTAAAATTTGGAACACTGCATTAGTCCAGGCAAATATTTCTAAAAAAGCATACTTTCACATTTTTTTCTTTGTTTGTGCTCTCATTAAAGTCAGCTGAGAACAACTTTTAAGATTACAGTATGCTTTCACTAGAAAAATTTAACTTTAAATACATATGCTTCATATTCTTAAGGGTAGAGCAAATACCATCAAGACAATTACAGTTTTGCAGTAATTAAATCTTTGGTTTGCACCAAACAATGTAAAGAATGATCTTTGTTAAGAAATGTTGTGATGGATAAATTTTTATCAACTTGTATATATATCCTGAAAAAACTAATAGTTTTAAGAGCTCTTTCTGTACTTCACTGGCTCTCCAGACAGTGGTTCTATTTAGGGCAACACCTAAAATGTATTGTTCTGGGTTACTACAATAACTGGGATGGAGTCTAACACAATTTAATGTACAACCATTATACAAATTGAGAACACAAGCATTTCCAGTTAAACTCTTTTTTGCCTTCTCTAAGCACATACAGCATCCTGAAGTCCTATATTCCTTATGTCTCAAAGATACGATAATACAACCAACAGCAACTGTTAAAGATCACAATTTGACAGTATCCATACCTTGTACTCCCATAATAAGAATGTAACTACACAAAATAGTTATTACTCCTACAAAGCATAAGAAGTCTCAAAAACTGTCATCATTCATGGACATTTATACTGCAAATGCTTGTTTTGTTTTTTTTCTTTGAACAGGACTCTCTTACTCTATAATCATACGTAGCATCTGGATTTTCATCACAGGCAATAACTTCTGGAGCCATCCAGTACGGAGTCCCAATAAAAGTGTTTCTCCTGCCAACTGTTCTGTCCAGCTGAGCACTCACACCAAAATCCACTGTGGGTGGGAAAAGAATAAAATAAAATAAGAGGGGAAAAATAATGCAGTGATTAATTTCATAAAGTGATTTGGAAACAAAACCCTGTAGATGTTCCATGTAGGAGGACCATGCTGAGGAAAAATACAATGATTAATCCTGAGGCAAATAAGCCCTTGTGGTTCACACACAATGTGCTTGGGCCACAAGTGCCAGGGAACACAGCAGCATACAACCATCTCTCCTGTACCTCTCACTGGTCTGCCTGGACAGAAGGGAGAGCACAGCTGCAAAAATACTACTTCGGAGGCTGAGAAAGTGTTATTCCCTTCCCACATGGTGAAGCCCTATACAGAAAGAGCCACTTCCCAAAGGTACCTCTCATGCTGTGGGAAAACTGCATTCATAAACACCTTTCTGAACCTCCCTTTTGGCACACCACTTTTTCTGCTCTAAAAAAAAATGATCTGTTGTTCAGGGAATTGGTCTCTGCTTTGATGACAGAGCAATAGCATCAGTGGGAGCAAAAGACGAGGATTACTCAAGGAGCGCTAACTTTGAGCACACATGCACACACATTGTGAAAAAGATGCCCATTTAATCACAAGGCAATTATATTACAAGGGTGTTTTCCACCCTTCAGTTCTCCCTGCTGACAACCAGTACTATCTGTCCTTCTATACCAGTAGCAGCCTGTGTCAGCTTCACTGCATCCATCATCCGAGCGACACTGACAAACTGGTGTAGACAAGCTCAGTGGGAGCAATGGTTTGGAAGCTACTGTGCTCCATTTTGGACCAAACAAAGGAAAGCTCTCCCGAGAGCTTCCTCCTCCAGCAGCCGGGACATCTTCCCATGCCTTGTGCTGCAGGAAGGTGTAATGCAAAACAGAAGGGATGTGGGCTGGGTGGGAGGGCTTCAGCATGGCTCTATATTTAACGAAAAAAAGGTGGTGAGTGTAGCGTGATACAAACGCAGAAGGTTAACATGTGCAATAACTGAAAGAGACAAATTAGAGAGGAAATAAAAAAGAGTATGTCCACTTGGCAGGGAGAGAAGAGGCCAGGGATGAGCACAGTTTTCGGCAGGTATGCCAGAGCTAAAACTGTGTTTTGAACTCGATGCTACAGCTCCCTTGAGAGTGCTGTCCAGATCATATTTTTGTGTCCAGAACGTGAACAGCAGGTGCTATTTTAATGAAAGCCAAATACAAGAGAGACTCCTGTCACTTCCCAAGTCCAGAATAAAGGGAATTAGAACAAACTCAAGCTCAGCAGGGTAAACAAAATGATCCCATCACTGATTCTCTGGCATGAAAGTCAACATCTTCTGACAAAATTCAACAACAACCTGCTTCATCCTCCCAAAGCAGGAGGAAATATATGCAGGCTGTCAATCCACAGGGAAGCAGTTACAGAGTATTCATGCTAGAAAACATGTTGTGGGGCTCTTAAATGATGAAATTAATTTCAGAACATCATAAAGCCAAAGGCTGAATGAATGAGGAAGTGGATATGTGTGCCTACTTACCAAGTTTCACTTCTGCGTTCTCTGTTAACAGCACATTTTGCCCTTTGATATCCCTGTGAATCACGTGATGGGCATGAAGATGTGCCAACCCCTGCATTAAGGAGAAGAGAGGAAGGAGAGGATGTTCAGAGTTAGGCTCTTGGCTTAGCAACAGACTACCCATACCCAGCAGCCCCAGAGGTCACAGCGCTGGGTCTTGTGCTCTTGCTCAGCAACTGGGTGCAATGGGACCCACAGCAGCCTTGTAGCAGCACACCACCCAGAGACAAAGGCCCCAGGTTATGCACACACTGTATATAAATACAGCCCAACATCTGCACTGTGCAAACACCTCTCCGTTGTCCTGTGGAGGAAGTTCAGCTCCCAGAAAGTCTCCGTGCACTTACACTGTAAACGACATCAGCATCAGTGCACATCACTGACATCTGACATGCACAGGGTCACACAGAATTTAGTCTGGGGAAGGGAGGTGGAAAGGAAAAGGATGCACCATCAATATGCATATATGCACCCCTGAGAAGGAGTGGGATGATGATGGACTGGCAGTCATGTTTGAGGGCAAGGGATGACAGATGACAAAGAAATGCTCTGCTGCAAAGCTGCAGTTCTCTTCTCTAGCCTCCATACACATGAAGCCAGATAATTCTTCCTCAGGAAAAAAAAAGCAAAAGAAAAGAAGAGGAAAAAAAATTAAAAAAGCATAAGCATTATACTTTCCAAAGGAAACAAAACCTCCTGGCATACGGTGCTTTTTGTTGAGACAGCACCTGGATGCATGCCCCAAAGCGTTAGCCATGTGGAGGGAGGGCTGAGAAAGACATATGTTGCATTTTACTCTCTAATGTAATTGGGAGAACACGCAACCCTCTTAGCAACTGCCTGTATTTTGGTTTCTCCTCAGTTTTCTGCTTGGAAAATTGTAGTCTCTAGTGGGATCATCTTGCCTATTCTTGTTGCTCTCACAGGCTTTTAATTTTTTATGAAAAATAAAGAAATAGAAACTTTACAGCTGCAAGAGGTTAAGAGAGTAGTGGTTGCTGTAGAGAAGTATTTCCTAACACATGTTCTTCATTAAATGATCATTTACCAGTTTGCCTACATAACCACCGGGCTATTTTCTTTTTTTAAAACAATCAATGAGTGTGACAAAAAAACCACCATCCACAACTTCTCTCCACACATCATAAGCAAATCAAGGGGGCTGATGTCCCCAAAACTCTTCACTGACTGCTAATGTTAAGTGTGGTCTTATTTTTCACAGGAATGAAGGCTTTTCCACAGCTTCACACAGCATACTTTTTAAAGCCTTCTGCTACTCTGACCCAGCCAAAGAGATCTGTTCTCTCCAGAGTACCATCTAACCTTACTGAAAAAACACATTTGGGTTTGCAAAGGGCTGGGAGGAGACAGAGGGGCACATCATTTTCCTGCAGTCCTCAGACTCCTCCAACCACACGAGGATCCACTGGGTTGATCTTCACACCTGTGTCTCCACCTAAACCAATCTTCGGTCCTTTAGCTCATTTTAACTTTGTGTTACACAACCTCCTCCATCTCTGACAAACTCTTGTGTCAAATCAGGTTTTGCAATGTCTCATAGCAATGTGAGTTTAGCGTTCCTTTTTTTCCAGATATTCCACTTCCCGCTGGCCAGTAATTAAGGCTCCTTCTGCACATCTTTCCCTGGAATGAGAAAATAGCTTTCCCTAACTCTTTTCTGAGGTAAATAAATTTTTTTCCTCTTCTCAGCAAGCGTTTGACTGCTTTACCTAAGGAGAACCTAGAATGAATCCAATATAGCATGGAATACCTCCAAGGCCACAGAGCTCTCAAATCAAGCATACGATCAGTCCTGCAGAAGTTAGCTTTCCTCATATTAAAGCGTGCTATCCATTTGATTTGAAATACAACTTCTCCCTTGTAGACAACTTAAAATGTGCCAGCCCAAACGCCAGCAGCTGGACTCTCTTCTAGCGTTTGGAATTAGAGCAAGAGACCAGAATCATATATCTCCCTTCACCCTCATCTTAAAAATTGCCGAGGCAAAGCAAACATATAACACAGACAACAGCAGCATTGATTTATGCAAGAGCCAGTGTTGGTTTCCTTTAACATAAACCCTTCAGAACTTCATTTACAATTAGGCAATTGAACGTACTGTGTAGAGGTATGGGTAGGAGGCAATTTGTTTTACAAAGAAGCACGAGAAAACCATATCAGATTCACTTAGTGCAGCACAGAAATGCCAATTCAAAAAGCACTTAAACTGTACCAACTGAAAATTAAATATTAAGAGTAACTAGTTAAAGTTTCAATTTTTGAAAAAAATGGTAAGTTGCAGCACTATTCCCGAATAACTTTTGCAGCGCCATCTGCTAGCACCGCACAGCCACACATGATATAGCTGCTTGCTCTAGACAGACTGCAGGAATATACAGTATGAGAGCACATCACAGCACAGAAGTCCTGACTGCTAGCCTGAGCCAACAACTCCCTTCCTCCATAGGTTTGATTAGGAGCAGAGAAAGACAGCTGCAAGCACATTCGGAAAAGTCCATTTCATACTCTACTGTGCTACAACACCGTTTCAGCCTCAGGTCTTGTGGACGCTGTTTCACAGCTTCTACAATAGGTAAGGTCACTGGCTCTTCTGCTGGCTTCTCATGACTAAAAATTGCTATTTTCTGCAAGGTTGCTGTTACAATATACAGTACAACTCACACCCAGTTAAATGATGTGGAGCAGTCATCTATCTGCTTCTATATGCTCTTCAAGTGATGAAATGGCTAATGGGATTGATCAGAAACAGCTTCTTGCAGAACCTCAAGCTAGGCTATGTCTTTTAAGAATGTTTCTGTGCGGAACAGACTATTTTCCTTACCCGGAGAATCTCTCTGGAGATATATGCTATCCAGTCTTCTTTCAGAGTATTCCCTTTCGTGTTCTTCACAAGGTCTGTGATAGAGCCTGCTCCACAAAACTCCATAACAAGCTGAAAAACAAATATCAGTGTACAACCAACATTAAGCACAGTTCTCAGCTGTTTAGCAAAGCCAAACAATCAGGTTGCAGCATTGATTTGGGAAACCCTTGTGAAGCAGAGAATAGAATTTATTTTACATATCTGCCTGGAAAATGGATTCAAGCAAATGTCTTCAATGTGTGTCAGACATATATGGAATATGTCTCATATCAGTTACCGCATTTTCAAGGACTGATTTAATCACTGTAATTTAATGCTGGGAATCTGGATTTGCTCAGCTACGCAAAATGCATTAGCAGTATGAGCACATCCAATACTGAAGGAATCAAACCGATCACACCATTGCAACACATCTTATCCTTTAACTCCCATTTATTTATGGAAGAACATGCACTGATGACTATATCCTGCCATTTCAAACCCAAACTTCAGTCCTCTAGAGGGTGTAGATGAGGTGGGATGGGAAATGTAATAGGTACAATTCTCAAGTGGAGCTTTCTTTTTACAGTCACATATTCTTACTGCTCAGCTCAGCTGTCTTGTTCCCAAGAAACATGCTACTATCCATCGGGGAAGTGGGGGAAAAAAGTTACTTTAAGAACAAATCCACTGCTTATAGCACGCTTTGGTTCAGCCATCCTCTTAAGAATGTGTGATTAGTCTATGTGATTCACTTATCTATCTGTTCAGGGAAGCATCAAATTCTATTAGTTTGTCTTTCCATAACATGGTATTCCTGTCATCCTCAAACTACATCCAATAGGGAAAGACTTATTAACATGTTTGAAAAATATCTGCTTACCCACAGTTGGTCATCATGTCCTGGAGGACTTTTCTTAATGAAAGCACCATAATAAGTTGCAATATTTCTATGATGAGAATATTTCTTTAGCATATTAATCTCCAGTTTGATTTCTTCTTCTTCATCCTTTGGAAAAAAAATAAAACAAACCCCCCTATGTTTAATATACCACATGTATTATTTATTTATCCTTCACTTTCACACAAGTAGGTTTTTTTAAGTTCAATTTTTACCAGCATCATGCTCAGGAAACCCATCCTAAAACTGTTTATTGAGGTGGTCTAAAATAGGTCTTTACTTTCCCATGTTTTCAGCAGTGCAAAAAAGCAAACGAAGGATGCACTGGACGTGACCCAATGATGGAGCAGGACATAATCTGTTCCAAAAACCCTGTGCTTATAATACCATAAGCAAATACATAGCTAGCAGGCTCTTATTGTATGTAACCCAGAGAACTAGAAACCCAGAAAAACCTATGGATTTATGATAGAGGAGTATTATTTACATCTTCCTTATTTTTCTCCTTTAATTCTGAAAATTGCAATCAGTTCTATTTAACTGCCAGACAGCAGCTCCATGCAGCCAGCTGCTGAGGCAGGTTCCCATTTCAGTGCCAGCACGGGACTGGCACAGGAAAGCAGAGGTGGAGATCAGGAATTCCCCTCACTGCAAGGACAAAGCATTGGCCTCGTGCACAAGTTTCCTCCTCCTCCATCTGTCTCTGTGGAGGAAGAGCAAGTGCATCAGAAAGAACAGGCCAGGAGCCCAGGCAGTAAACAGGATGCTGGGACACAAAGGCAGAGGAAGGATTTCCCACAGCTCCCCCTGCTTCAGCCAGATGCCAAAAAGAGAGCAGCTCAGGTGAAGGGACGTCTCCCCTTTAAAGAGATAGAACAGGTAACACTATGAAACTCCTCCTTAAAAACACCCACAATTTGTTTCTGAAGTGACAGTAGGACATGTTGCATGGAAGGATCCACATGCTTTGAGGTGGTGTCTGAGCAGGCAGCCAGCAGATACAGAAGAAGGAGCAGATGCCATCCCACCCCCAGCTCTCCCTTCCCATACCAAAGACAGTAGGAGTCTTCTTCAAGCACCTATAGAGGCAACAAATGAAAAGGCAGATGGATACCCCTTTAGGCACAATCTTTATTTTCTCCACAATTTTCTATCCTTAGATACCCAGGCAGAAGATGTCTACCCTAAATTAAGTCCAGGAAGAACCCCAAACTTCTGTTCCCTAGGGCTGCTGGCTGATGGGAATGGTAGCACATATTTTGATTATCCTGTGATGCCAAAGCTGATTGCATGATAAAATTTTAAGCCTTAAACTTCCTTGCAATTTGTACCATGCTAGCAATCAAATATCCTATTCATGACATATACAGATGTTAATACTAACTACATGTTAACTGTTTATACACACTGGTACAAACAGCTTGAGTAAAAGAAGCTACTCTATGCTACAAAGCAAGCAATAATTTCAAATATTCTGATAGTAGGATGCAATGTTTAGTCGTAAACTATTATGACAGAATTCCCAAAATGCACCAGGGATAAACTATTCTTATATCTTCTCATGATGCATCTTTGAAGTAAAATACTGTGTATTTCTGGAACACTGAACAAAATAGTAAAAGAATCTTGTAAATCAAAGTTCCCAGTGAACAGCAGCCCTGGGAGAAAGTGTCAGAACAGCTTTTTGAGCCAAAAGCTAACTTGGTGCTTCCTTAGCTGCTTCTGTTGTCCTTGCTGTTGCATAATTTTTTATTTATTTAGATCATATGCAAAAAGAAAAAAAAAGAGAAGAATACATGCTTATTATACTAGGAACTACTATGCTGAACCTCTGAATTGTGTATTTAGGGAAAAAACTGTGATAGCTTTGTTGAACTTAACGGTTTGGGACTTAATTGCTGATAGGTTAATATGTATAATTGGATTAATCTGCTATTTTGAATGGACTTTTTAGATTAAAATTATTTCCTACCCTCAGCACATGAACACAATAGCTTTTATAATACAATGGGCAGGATGTCCTAAAGGTTGTCCATGTTTATCTATTGTAACAGCAGCCAAAATGATAATACTTAGGATCTATTTCTGAAAAGTAAAATAATCAAAATCCCACCAAAATACCCAACAAACCAAACAAACAAACAAACAACCCCACCAAAAACACTGAGGAACAAACAACAAAAAAGGCACACACAGACCCAGCAGACTGCAGGCAGTTACTGCTCTTTCAGCTTTTCACTAAGGCTGTGTCACAGCACCTGCTCAATGGCCTCCAGCAACCCCAAGCATCAACCTTAACTAAGGCTAATAATGGTCCTACACTTCTATTTCAGCCACCTCGGAGCATTTGTCCACAACACAAATAGCATCTCACCTACAGATCAATCCAGTCCAAAATCTAGTCTACAAAAATAAATGGATTTGGTAATTCTTGCCAGACTCTGGAGGACTCCACTTACTTAGTGCGGATCGATAACTCCCTGGCAATGAGTCCTGAAGACTTTGTGGCGACAGGAACTATCATGAGGATTAATCAGCACAGAGAAGGCTGCAGCACAACTGCAGTACAGCAACTGGTGGAATATTTAAAAAAAAAAACGAAATTTTTTTTTAAAAAAAGGTTGGCCAGACCAAAGGTGTTCTGTTCCAGATTCAGGAGTGGTTTTTTTTCCAGGGTGCAGCTCATTTCATTCCCATGTGGACATGTGAAAGAGGTCAAACAATGTGCGCCCTACTGGTGTTTACTTCTCCCCGCTAACTACAAAAGGAGGGTGAGGTCATTAGCAAAGATGCAGACACCACTCTTGCAGATGTCTTGCACCAGGATGACATGAATCCCACCCAAAAATCTCACTGGATAAGACCATTTCCACACAGGTCTCCTTACGGACACACATGCCTCAAGGAGGGTATGCTGCAGCCTGCAGAAGGGATCCTCCTGCACAGAGCGAGGTGTTTTGGCAGCCGTCCTGGGATCTGGACATGTGAGCCAGCCTCAGAAAGTGAAAGTCCCTCACCTCCTCCCGACAACACATGCACTGCACCACTAACAGTCCCTTCATTTACAGAGGCACTGGTATCACAAAAGGAGAAAATTAAAATTGGTTGAGGCAAGAGACTGTCATTCTCATGAAGTAATACAAAAGTACATCCTTTTTTCTTGGAGAAGAGAGGCAGCTGGTGAGTCCTTCCTAGTGATTTTATGCAGCTGGCATTAATTACCACTTTAAGCCATTATCTGTAGATACAAACTCCCAATTGAAACCTTCTTTGTCTCCCCTGTGATTGGGCTGGTATGTTTTATACTTCTACATTTGCTGGCTGTTTGTGACAGCACGTCTGACTACCAGTAATTTTTTCAGCAAGCTATACTTTCACAAGACTCACGTGGTTGGATCAAGCTTGGAGCAGCTTTCCTCTCCCTTTCCATGTGTTTCCCTTCAGAGATTAAATGGACATGTCAGCATTCCTAGGGATTTCTAACTGCAACGCTCTTTGATCAAAATAATTTTGCCTGTAAGATTAAAACCCACATACGATGCCGGCATAGAAATCCACCTATGTACACTAAGATATTTCTGATCATTTGAACTAGCACAGTAAAAATAAAATCAGTCATGTTACCTCTCAGCATGCCACCCAGTGGCACCTGATCAGCTTGCTTACGGCTATAGCACAAAATCTCAACACCACTTATCCTTCCATTCATCATTGCACGCTAAATATCAGTACAGGTTTTTCTGCATGCAGATGGCAAATCAATGACTTCTTATTTTCATTACATCAACATTTACAAAATTGTGATGATTTAAGTAGCTAATGTTTTAAGTGTCTGACCATGGTTGCCATGGAAGTAACTCCCAGTCAAATAAAAGCTACTAGAATAGATCCATATATGGAAGATTAACCTGGACAGCTCGATTATTCCATTTCATCATGTTTTCCAAAGGTAACACCCCACCCTCCACATCATTATTGGAAGAAAATCCTGTTTATTTACACAAATTTTTAGAAGATGAGGAACGCAGAAACACTTCGCTGAACATTTGCTACACTTCGTTGTGTAGGGATGGAAAAGAAGAGAATTAAGCTCTAGAAGTATCAGAAGCAGGGAGGACATAACCAAAGGAAAAGAAAAATCACGTCATGTCTGTCGTGTTTCTATATACTTCTCTAAACATCATTTGCCTAGATGCCTCAGGAGACTAAGCACAACAGTTCTGACATGTTCCAGCATTAAAACTGCTATGAGACCCCGACGAGAATCTGTCTCTGAGAAACACATTTCAGGAAGGAAGGGGGAAGTACAAACTCTATAGCACAATGAAATTACTTCAGGAGCTGAATTTTAAAATTAAAAAAAATACAAGCCACCTAAGCATAGAGAAAAGACATGTCCTAGGGCATGTAAGTGGTGACTTTCCATTCAAACTCCCCCAGGCGGAAGACCTGTCTGACCACTGTTCTTTGCCAGTTGTTGATTCTGCCCTCTTAAGGGATTGGCACTGCTCAAGAAAAAGAAACTCAGGACAATTTCAGAAGATTTTATTTACCCTAGTAATATGATGAGGATAAACGCAAATCAGAAAACACAGTCCAGCAAGGGTAAAGCAAGACAATGTTCTGTGATAAAGGCAAGAGCAAGTATACCTACCCCACCAGATGATTTATATGCTGCTCTAAATCAGTATGAAGTGGAATACAAATTGGTCCCTTCAGTAACTTTGCTTTTTGATTTAAGAAATGAGACAGTGACAAATCTCAGCTCTCCCCATACAAATGGCACCCAGTCATTTTAAGCCACAACCAAGGGTTTTAAGAATGAATATCATGACCAAACAGTGGAAAGCCAAACACACTAGCAAAGGTGTTTTCATTTGCTTTCCCAATGCTGTTCACAAAGCTCTGCCTGCCTACACCCAGGAAGCTGCCCTCCCTGGAAAATGGCAGCTGGCAATGCTCTGCCTGGAGTTTCAGAGTAAGCTGAGCTGTGGAGGATCATGAGCTCCAGTGGTAACTTGTGGAATTTGGGAATCTTTAGATCACAGGAGAGTTGGGATCTGTGTAGAGTGGCAGGCAGCAGCCTCAGCCCAAACAACCCAGCCCAG